GAGATTTCAGTTGATTGGTATAGGTAGTAGTGGGTTGTTAGATTGAGATTTGTCTAATCTGCTATTGAACAGCATTAAACTAGCATCTCTTAAGTGCTTCCTCTACACTGGAGCAGGACTGTGCCTGAACAACGAAGTCAACTAAAATAAATGTCCTCCTTTAGGCAGGCTTCATATGAGGCTGTGTTCTGTTGTCAATCATAGGCAGATAAATGGCCATAGCTGACAGCTTACCTTCCGAACAAAATATTGTCTTAAAGTTATTCCAGGTTATTAAATTACTACTAAATCTTACCATTGTACATACCTCTCTTATTTTAAAATGTGTATATATGTGGTGTTAAGTGTTATTGCATGAATGCAGACAGAGTAGAATGCTAGCTCAGAGTTGCCTTTCATTCAATAAACTCAGCCTTAATGGAATGAACATTAAGCCTAATATACAGTATGTATTGATATTATTAAATGTGCATGTCGCAGAGCTACCATTCTTGTCTGTAAAATGGTAGAAATCCATTAACTGTCCTCTTTTTATTTTATAATCAACTTGCTTAATATTCATTAATTGTTGTGGGTCGTGTTCAGCAGGCACAAAACAGAACATGTTTTCAAACAGAAAATGTTTAAAAAGCTACAATGAACATTCTCATTGGTCATGTTCAGGTAGTGCCTCTTGTGCTTCAAAATGTTATTTTCTAATTCGTGCCTACTGTACACCACCTGGATATTTTTTGCGTTCGCCAACTCGGTGTGTCATATCGTTCCAGGTGGTTTACTGTACTTTAAACCTACTAAGAATCGAAAGGCCTTTGTCAGCTCATAGTGATACAGTTATCGGACCCTGACCCACAAACCTCTGTGTTGAATGTTTATTTGTTTAGAATATTTTGAACCCTTGGCTCTAGGAGGTAAAGGTTTCGTCTCTGGGATGTGACTTCTGGGTTTAGGGTATGTTCCTCATAAATTCAGTCAACCGTCACGCTCAAACATTAACTATGTTTTACTGAACCGTGTCTGTTTGAAAATAACATTGACGTAATGACACCTTTTCCAGCAGCAGTGGGAAAGTTCTATAGTGAAACACATTATTTAAGAGATATACAGCTGCTTTTGGAGGAAAATGTTCAGTAAAAAAGTATACATTTTCTTTCAGGGGTAGATGAATATCTATGAATATATCCTTCTACACCTTTAAACCCTTGTCGCATTCTCTCTCTTTCTCTTTTCATTCTCTTCTCAGCCCTCTCTTCAGTCTCTCCCCTGGCCACTCCAGTCTCTCTTTCTCCAGTTCCACCCAGTACATTCCTACCAAACTGCCCTATAGAGGAGAGGTGACTCACCATCTTCGAGCTCCTGTAATTTAATTTGGGATAACTCTGTTATGTCCTTAGTGGGGGTGGGGGTAGGCCCAAACCAAAGCACATCGCACACACACACTAAGCACCAGGTCACGTCTCCCTGCATGGGCCAAGTGACTGTAATGTCGTTATGGATGTTAGACCCTCTGTCTGTTTTTCCTAACATTTTCTCTCTGTCTATCCACTGTTGGCATTCTCTCATTCTCCTCTTAACATTCCCCGTCTCCATTTCACCTCTGCTCTCTGTTTCTCCTTCTCTTCCTCTCTCTCTCCTCTGATAGCATTCTCTACATACTTTATGTGTAGCTTCACCATTGTCAGTATTACAGAACATCCTACTATTGTTTACTTGTCATGTCTGAGTTAAAGTCTGGAGATCAAACCTCGTACATGAAGCACTATGGATAAAGACGATTGTTTTAAAGTGCCTAAATTCTTATTTTATAGAAAGTCTTCTTTTGCGTTTAGAATTAGACTCAAACTGATTCTTTAAATGTGTTTGTGCTGTCTTGCCAATGACATATGAGTTGGAAAGACAGTACAGACAGATTAGGGACTCAGGCTAACAGAGCTGTGGAACCACCTCTAAAGAATATAATAGATTGTTATGAGATTATTCACTTCTGTAGTCCTATTCAGATATATTCTGTGAAGTTGGTGCAGCCTAACCTGGTTAAAACAGACTGAACGCTGCGCTCACAAAATACGGCCTGCTAAGGCACACAGTCACAGTGACACTCCAGAATTCTACTGGACCGACTGAGTTCCTTCAGGGTGCTGATGCTCTTCATTCACAACCTAGTGTCACATATCTGCTCTAATGCAGTCACCACCACCGCTATAGATACAGCCGTCAGAAGCATGGGATGGGATGGTGACCGTGGGATTGTGTGAGTGACATGGGGTTATTAGTTTTTCTTGATCATGTGACTCGGCCAGGAAAAACTGGTTGCCTGCTCTCAGAGAGCCAAAGATGACTTACTCTGTGCCGGAATTCTCCACCCAGTGATTCAAGGAAATCCCCCACTTAGATTAAACAGCATAGGGCTGGTGTAAGCATGGGTTATTACACCAATCCCATTCTTTTAAATCTGCGGGGGAGTGCACTCCAGTGAAAAGGGTTGATAATTGGGACGCAGGGTTTGGCTCATGAGATGCTGTGACTTGTGATGACATTCTGTTCTGTTTGGTGTTTCACTGTGCATATGATAACTGATGAGACTATCCTAGTATGTCAGGGGTGCACAGCTACAGTCCTGGAGGGCCACAATGCCAGTTTTTTTTTTATTACTTTTAATCACAGACTGTATACTCTCTTTGGCCAATCAGTGACATTGATTGATCAATAAGTGAAACTAAAACCAGTAGGATTGCAGCCAACGACTTGAGTTTGATACCCCTGTAGTATGTGGGAATGGATGGATGTATAAAGCCTTAACATAAAAAGAAAATCACATAAAACACCATTGCCTAGCATCCTACTATTCAGTCCAGACACGTGAATGTGCTCAGAAAAGGAAGGCTTTGTTTATTTGCTTTTGCTCCACTTTGACAGGTGGAGTTCCCCTTTTTTATTGCCTGTTATCAAATTGTCTCTTTTCCGATCAGCTGTGATGACTGTTCTATGTAGAGTACTTTAGACTTCTGCAGTGTTTCACTTTCAGCCACACAGATATCAAATGTTTGGATATATGATTGAATGCAAAATGCATGTGTTATTAAACCCGAAGTTAAAACTTCTACATGGTCTCTCTTTGGTGGTGTTTGTGTATGTTTGCTATTTTGGAATATACTGTTTGATAGTATTGTGTTGTATTTTCCCAGTCTATTTCTAATTTAGCTAACTGGTCGTTGTCTTGCCAAGGCAACAATGTAGTATTGCTAACAGCAGAAACAGTCAGGTACCAAGGCTAACTAGTTGAGTGTAATTGGGTGCGTTCCAGATAGCCATATTATTTGCAAGACTGCACAGTTTACAAGATCATTACATCATAGTGATGTGGTAAAGAGCTGATATTATACACAGGCCTGAACAGAATGTGCCCAATATGTCTGTCATTGTGAGAAGTGCCCAATATGTCTGTCATTGTGAGAAGTGCCCTAGTATTTTTACCTATGTTTCTGTTCTGTGAATAGTTCCTCATCCTCACCATAAGGCATGGCTCACACAAATGTTGTTCTGGTTTGTTAGGCCCTTGACATTGCCAACTCACTCAGATACAAAAACATTGATTGTTACCCTTTGTTTAAACTAGCCTGGTCCCATAGGAGTTAGCAAGATGGCACAAACAGACCTGGCTATGTTTAAACCCATTATAGTCAAAGAAACAGAAACACTACATTTACTAGTTCCATTCAGGACACATGATGACCCAAGGGCTCGATTCAATCAGATCTGCTTTAGCCAACATCCGCATAGCGGTTAGTTTGGCAGTGTCTGAGGTGGGACTGCGTTAAAGCTGTCAAATCCACAAGTGGCTCCGAGCATTATACCTAAAAAACAGACATTACCATTGGCTGCACGGAGTAGCATTAAGATAAATCCTATGCTGCCTTGTTTAAAAGTTTGAACACTGGAATGTGTTCACACCGGCAAAACATCCACTATGTGCATGTCTGCTATCGCCGGTTAACGCTTGATCTGATTGAATCTAGGCCTAAATCTCTTTAGAGCTGCACACAGCTTAGTGTGTGGACCAGTCGAAGGATTAATGTGTGGGAGTGCAGCCTGTTGTGTGTGTGTGTGTGTGAAAATGTCCTTCCTTACCCTGTCTACAATGCCACTACTTATTGTCATGGCTATTGAACTGTGTGTGTGTATGTGTGTCTCTTTTGTTTCACATCAGACAGGCAGGTTCCTCAGGGGTGTGCGAGAAGGATCTCATCATGTAGGTGGAATTATCATTAACCATGGAGTCGGGGTGGTGGAGGGCCCCGCTTATTGTCTTACGCTAGATTTTCATCTACACTGTTGATCAAGAATCCTCCGGAGTGACACCACCTGGCTGAAGACAATGGGGACTCACTATCTCCGTCTCAGATAACCCTGCTGCAGAGGGAGACAGTGGGACTGAGGGTGAGAGAGATGAAGAGAGAGAGAGAGAGCAAGGCTGCTCCCAGAGGCTGGAAAACTGCAGAACACTTCAGATCGGTCATTGAGGTCAAATTCCACCCGATACTCACACCTCCCTCCCTCCTCCCCAACCCTCCTCTTGCTCCCCTACCTCCTCCATCGTGATGCTGAGAGGCTGTGTTCACTGAATCAGGTGGATCTGTGCTGTAAACCTAAATGCATCGATTGATTTGTACAATTTTTAGACTGCATCCTGTAAACCGCAATCAATCAAATGCAGAACACGTTTCTATTGGCCACTGCTGATAGTGCTATCCTATCAGAAACATACTATACTACAAGGTACTATATCAGTAATATATTTGAGAAAGAATTGGCTAACACACACAGTCGTCTCTTTCAGTAGCAAATCTTTAATCACAGTAGTTTGCACAATGCATGTCAAATGTTTTTCCTATATAAACAGACCTACTAAAGTGCTTTGTAACACATATACAAACATCCTACTCATTGTCTGGTACAAAATTGAATCATTGCAGAATCAAATATTTCAATCAATATCATTCATTAGAAAAAAAAATAGAAAAAAAAAGACTTGTACCTAACCTATTTGATACTGTATTTCAAATATATCATATCATTATTCAGGTGGGTTAGACCCATTCATGTCCCTCTGTCAGGGCGGGATGGCAGAGTCCTGGTTGTAGTCCCTGAGAGCAGTAACACCCCTGGCCAGTCCTCTCTTTCCCCCAGCTCAGTAGGGTTTGACTCGGGCTCGGTCTCGGATGTTCATGGCTATGTGGTTTCTGTGGGGAAAGAGATGAGACGAGACAAAAAGAGAGACTGTATATTGTTCCCATACCACCTTTATTGCAATAACGTTTCAATCAGAGTCATAGTGTCCTGGGCCCGTATTCACAAAAAGTCTCAGAGTAGGAGTGCTAACATAGGATCCATTTAGCCTTTTAGATCATAATGAATAATAAGATAAGATGATTATGGACAGGGGGGAGGGGGACCTGATCCTAGATCAGCACTCGTACTCTGAGATGCTTTTGTGTATATATATACGGGCCCTGGTCTCATTTCTGAATGAGTATTTCCCGCCCAGTACCTAAGTACAATCATCTGATGTATATGTGTAAATATGTTTGCTACTCACTCGTAGACATCGCTGTGCTTCATCCTCCTGTAGAACTTGGCCAGTTTGATGGAGAAGATGATGCTGGGGACCAGGAAGATCATACACCAGCCCAGACTGAAGCAGAACGCATTCTGGACACACACACAGACACGTGTAGGTTAATAAACAATATTACATTAACGTAGTGTATCATTTTCTGTGTGTGGGTGCGTGCATGAAATCGTTTTCTCACCAGAGACTCCATCATATTTGAGCAGACTATAACCTCAGCTGAGTCCACAGCTTTTGCAACTGGGCCACAGAGACCAATCTGTTGAGTGATCTACATACACACAAACTCACACAATCAAATTTCGTCAAATGTATTTTATAAAGCCATTTTACATCAACCTCAACCACACATTCTTACACATAAGGCTGAGGCTAAACTACACACACACACAAACATAGGAACCTAAAATTAAACCACACACACACACAAGGTACAACAATGCAGTGATACAGTAGTAGTAGAACGCTTAGTGAACCCACTGTGAGGTTAGCCCAGTCAGCATATGCCATGAAGTACCCCATCTGACAGTCTAGGAACTTCCTACTCTCCTGAGAAAAAGAAAGAAAGAAAAACAAGTGTAAATTCCATACATTCTCTATTGACTCAGAAGTCATGAGTCAGTGGAGCCTTGCAGCAAAAAAAATCAGGTGGAATTCCCTATATAAGTATTTCTTTTGTGACTAAATATGCTTGTGTGTGTGCATGCGTGCAAATGTGCATGGTTACTCACTGCCTTGACTATCTGTGTAGTGTTGGTGTTGAGGAAGTCTTGAGCTGTTCCCACTTTATTTAACACCTCTCCTACTGTGCCCTAAAGGTGAAAGAGGGAGGGAGGGAGAAAGAGAGAGAGATGAGCATGCATTGCATAGCTACATATTTACATTGTTTAATGAAAGAACACTTGCAGCTCATGCTTTCGGAACATTCTGCAGTATACTTACATTGATCTCTGATACTATGACACTAAGGGCACCTATGGTGGAGTTCAACTGAGTCTGAAACACAAAAGACTGACAGATAATATATCTATTTACAACATATATGACTCTGCTCTGGATAATGACCTCTTAAGGATTTATAAAATAGTCATAGATAATCCAGACATTCAGATAGCTGTATATTTAGTACAAACACACATATGTGACATTTGCTGAAGTTGTCCAGAGCAGAAACAGGCAGCACCAGGCCAGTCAGACGTACCAGTTGTGGGATGATGATTCTGACAATGTCAGACTGGATCCCTCTCAGGTCTCCAGCCTCCTGTGTCAGCTGTGATTGGATACCTGTATCAATCTGTTGAGAGACATGCATCACATTACTGTCTTTATACAAACATCTACAGTACCAGTCAAAAGTTTGGACACACCTACTCATTCAAGGGTTTTTCTTTATTTTTACTATTTTCTACATGCAGAATAATAGAGAAGACATCAAAACTATGAAATAACACATATGGAATCATGTAGTAACCAAGAAAGTGTTAAACAAATAAAATATATTTGAGATTCTTCAAATTGCCACCCTTTGCCTTGACAGCTTTGCACACTCTTGGCATTCTTTCAACCAGCTTCACCTGTAATGCTTTTCCAACAGTCTTGAAGGAGTTCCCACATATACTGAGCACTTGTTGGCTGCTTTTCCTTCACTCTGCCATCCGACTCATCCCAAACCATCTCAATTGGGTTGAGGTCGGGGGATTGTGGAGGCCAGGTCATCTGATGCAGCACTCCATCTCTCTCCTTCTTGGTGAAATAGCCCTTACACAGCCTGGAGGTGTGTTGGGTCATTGTTCTGTTGAAAAACAAATTATAGTCCCACTAAGCCCAAACCAGATGGGATGGCGTTTCGCTGCAGAATGATGTGGTAGCCATGCTGGTTAAGTGTGCCTTGAATTCTAAATAAATCACAGACACCTCCTCCTCCATGCTTTATGGTGGGAACTACACATGCAGAGATCATCCATTCACCCACAATGCGTCTCACAAAGACACAGCGGTTGGAACCAAAAATCTCCAATTTGGACTCCAGACCAAAGGACACATTTCCACCGGTCTAATGTCCATTGCTCGTGTTTCTTGGCCCAAGCAGGTCTCTTCTTATTATTGGTGTCCTTTAGTAGTGGTTTCTTTGCAGCAATTTCGACCATGAAGGCCTGATTCACACAGTCCCCTCTGAACAGTTGATGTTGAGATGTGTCTATGACTTGAACTCTGTGAAGCATTTATTTGGGCTGCAATTTCTGAGGCTGGTAACTCTAATGAACTTATCCTCTGCAGCAGCAGTAACTCTGGGACTTCCATTCCTGTGGCGGTCCTCATGAGAGCCAGTTTCATCATAGCGCTTGATGGTTTTTGCGACTGCACTTGACATTTTCCGTATTGACTGACCTTCATGTCTTAAAGTAATGATGGACTGTTGTTTCTTTCTTATTTGAGCTGTTCTTGCCATAATATGGACTTAGTATTTTACCAAATAGGGCTATCCTCTGTATACCCCCACCCCTCCCCCTACCTTGTCACAACATAACTAATTGGCTAAAACACATTAAGATGGAAAGAAATTCCACAAATTAACTTTTAAGAAGGCACACCTGTTAATTGAAATGCATTCCAGGTGACTACCTCATGAAGCTGGTTGAGAGAATGCCAAGTGTGTGCAAAGCTGTCATCAAGGCAAAGGGTGGCTATTTGAAGAATCTCAAATATAAAATATATTTGATTTGTTTAACACTCCATATGTGTTATTTCATAGTTTTGATGTCTTCACTATTATTCTACAATGTAAAAAATAGTAAAAAATAAAGAAAAACCCTTGAATGAGCAGGTGTGTCCAAACTTTTGACTGGTACTGTATATGACCAGTGCACACACTGATGTTCACATTGTATCATTGATGGAAGAGCCTGAGAGTGCTCAGAGGGAGGGAATATGTTTGTAACAATGTTACATGTTTTATTACTCACTTGAACAGTAGCAAGTTGGTCTAACATGCCTGCTGTTTCTGTCAGATTAATGCTGGAAATACTGTTGATCTGAAACAGGTATAGAAACAGTTATGATAATATATAATGATGTGACGCTGCATGCTGTCCTAATATACACTCCAATTGAACATGTTACAAACTATTAGAGACCAAAGGTCACACAGACATGCACGCGCACATGTACACACATACACACACTTTGTACCTGCTGTGTGATAGAGCTTAAGTCAACATCATGGGCCATGTCAGAGAAGCTGTTTATCTTTTTGCACATCTCAGGGGTGAGCAGGGTGATGGTAGGCAGTTTGATCTCATTACTGTCAAAGTGTTGCTGAATCTCTTCTTTGTACTGGGAGGGGAGAGGTGGACACATAATTAGAAGGAGTAGCGGAAACATTGTCCTAGTATAGCAGATGGTTTGAAATATGGACTTTACACCACTTAGGAAGAGGAAACATGACTTGATTTTGGTAATTAACCACCCATATAAAGTGATGCCCAGTAATCATCAGTAGACAGTGTATGGTGATAGAAAAAGTAAAAACCATATGTGATAGAGTAGAAACCATAGTGTGACAGTCTTACTTTGGACACGTTGAGTAGACTATTGAGGTCTATGAGCTCATACAGGTGGAGTGTTGTCCATAGAGGCCTGTTCTGTTCACATTCACTACAAACACACACACACAACAATACATCCTTACTAGTGATGCGGAAGTTAACTCATAACCCGCAGCTATATCCGTGATGCGGCGGGTTTAGGGTCATGAAATGTTGTGTGGATGAAGGGCGGCTGGGTGGCGGGCGGGTTAAATAAAGATAAAATAATACCTTAAATATCCATAAATGTATCATTCATCTTGTGCAATTTATATAGGCTACATTGAGGTTTTCCTTTCATTATTTAAGGTTATCTGGCATTAGTGCATAAGCCTAAGCTTTAGGACCTAACTGTACGCGTGCCAAATAGCCTACACGCAACCACCAAATGCTTTTGGAAATGGGCAGAAAAGGTTCATGTTCAAGTCGATCCACGGAGGCAAAAAAGGAAAATGTCCGAGTTTAATTCAATACGAGAAAAGCTGTGAAATGCAAAATGGAGAGTTGAAAATAAAGAGAAGGTAGTGCCAGATAACTAACGTTTGGGAAAGATTTGGTGAAGTGGTAAAAGGGAATGATAGCAGATAGATAGATGTGTGATGATTGTGAGGCGCTATACAAATTCGACAGCCACAAGACGGGGACTTCAAATAGGCCGATGGCACATAAGGGAACTGTAGCCTACTGTTCAGATGGGTTAAATGGAAACTGAATTCTGGACACCGACTGTAGGTCTGTAACCTCTCATATATCCTTAATATAAACTCCTGCAGAATTAAGCATTTCTTGCAGAAAATGATACACCAAATGCAGGCAAAATTGGAGTGGAAAAATATGATTTATTTCTTTCAGCATCCTGAGAGAATGCGAATGTGCAGTTAGATACCTACCGTCTGTAGAGGTGCTATCTTTATCAGCGTCATAAAAGCTGATAGTATTTCAACCACATAAAATATGCATCCAAGCCGAACTGAAATCTTAGCAGAAACATATTGGGTCGTTTTCACAGCTGAAGAAAGAACAGCGCCGGAGAAGATGGCTGCCGTTTTACAGCCCTCTAACCAATTGTACTATTATGTGTGTTTTTCCGCGTTATTTGTAATTTATTTTGTACATAATGTTTCTGCCATCGTCTCTTATAACCAAAGAGAGCTTCTGGATATCAGGACAGCGATTACTCACCTCGCATTGGACGAAGATTTTTTCTTCAACGAGGCGTTCGCGAAGGATATCCTACAGACACCCGACAAGGCCCAGATCCCCGTCATTCGCGTGAGGAAGAGACGGAGATATCGCGGACGCAGATCCGGGTGCCTTGTAAGGATCCGACGGCGAGCGAGTAAACTGCCTCTCCCATCAATCCTATTAGCCAACGTTCAATCTTTTGAGAATAAAATTGACGATTTAAGATTACGGTTATCCTACCAACGGGACATTAAAAACTGTAATATCTTATGTTTCACGGAGTCGTGGCTGAACGACAACAATGATAACATTCAGCTAGCAGGCTATACGCTACATCGGCAGGACAGAACGTCTGACTCTGGTAAGACAAGGGGTGGCGGTCTCTGTATATTTGTAAACAACAGCTGGTGCACAAAATCAAATACTAAGGAAGTCTCGAGGTTTTGCTCGCCTGAGGTAGAGTATCTTATGATAAGCTGTAGACCACACTATTTACCAAGAGAGTTTTCATCTATATTTTTCATAGCTGTTTATTTACCACCACAAACCAATGCTGGCATTAAGATTGCACTGAATGAGTTGTACAAGGCCATTAATCAACAGGAAAACGCTCATCCAGATGCAGCGCTCCTAGTAGCCGGGGACTTTAATGCAGGGAAACTTAAATCCGTTCTACCTAATTTCTACCAGCGTGTTAAATGTGCAACCAGAGGGAAAAAAACTCTAGACCACCTTTACTCCACACACAGAGACGCATACAAAGCTCTCCCTCGCCCTCCATTTGGCAAATCTGACCATAACTCTATCCTCCTGATTCCTGCTTATAAGCAAAAACTGAAGCAGGAAGCACCAGTGATTCGGTTAATAAAAAAGTGGTCAGATGACGCAGATGCTAAGCTACAGGACTGTTTTGCTAGCACAGACTGGAACATGTTCCGGGATTCTTCAGACAGCATTGAGGAGTACACCACATCAGTCACTGGCTTCATCAATAAGTGCATCGATGATGTCGTCCCCACAGTGACCGTACGTACATACCCCAACCAGAAGCCATGGATTACAGGAAACATCCGCACTGAGCTAAAGGGTAGAGCTGCCGCTTTCAAGGAACGGGACTCTAACCCGGACGCTTATAAGAAATCCCGCTATGACCTCCGACGAACCATCAAACAGGCAAAGAGTCAATACAGGTCTAAGATTGAATCATACTACACTGGCTCTGACGCTCGTCGGATGTGGCAGGGCTTGAAAACTATTACAGACTACAAAGGGAAGCACAGCCGCGAGCTGCCCAGTGACATAAGCCTACCAGACGAGCTAAACCACTTCTATGCTCGCTTCGAGGCAAGCAACACTGAAGCATGCATGAGAGCACCAGCTGTTCCGGACGACTATGTGATCACGCTCTCCGTAGCCGATGTGAGTAAGACTTTTAAGCAGGTCAACATTCACAAGGCCGCAGGGCCAGACGGATTACCAGGACGTGTACTCCGAGCATGTGCTGACCAACTGGCAAGTGTCTTCACTGACATTTTCAACATGTCCCTGACTGAGTCTGTAATACCAACATGTTTCAAGCAGACCACCATAGTCCCCGTGCCCAAGAACTCTAAGATAACCTGCCTAAATGACTACCGACCCGTAGCACTGACGTCTGTAGCCATGAAGTGCTTTGAAAGACTGGTCATGGCTCACGTCAACAGCATAATCCCAGAAACCCTAGACCCACTCCAATTTGCATACCGCCCCAACAGATCCACAGATGATGCAATCTCTATCGCACTCCACACTGCCCTTTCCCACCTGGACAAGAGGAACACCTACGTGAGAATGCTATTCATTGACTACAGCTCAGCATTCAACACCATAGTGCCCTCTAAGCTCATCACTAAGCTAAGGATCCTGGGACTAAACACCTCCCTCTGCAACTGGATCCTGGACTTCCTGACGGGCCGCCCCCAGGTGGTAAGGGTAGGTAACAACACATCTGCCACACTGATCCTCAACACGGGGGCCCCTCAGGGGTGCGTGCTCAGTCCCCTCCTGTACTCTCTGTTCACCCATGACTGCATGGCCAGGCACGACTCCAACACCATCATTAAGTTTGCCGACGACACAACAGTGGTAGGCCTGATCACCGACAACGATGAGACAGCCTATAGGGAGGAGGTCAGAGATCTGGCCGTGTGGTGCTAGGACAACAACCTCTCCCTCAACGTGACCAAGACAAAGGAGATGATTGTGGACTACAGGAAAAAAAAGAGGACTGAGCACGCCCCCATTCTCATCGACGGGGCTGTAGTGGAACAGGTTGAGAGCTTCAAGTTCCTTGGTGTCCACATCACCAACGAACTATCATGGTCCAAACACACCAAGACAGTCGTGAAGAGGGCACGACAAAGCCTATTCCCCCTCAGGAGACTAAAAAGATTTGGCATGGGTCCTCAGATCCTCAAAAAATTCTACAGCTGCACCATCGAGAGCATCCTGACTGGTTGCATCACCGCCTGGTATGGCAACTGCTTGGCCTCTGACCGCAAGGCACTACAGAGGGTAGTGCGTACGGCCCAGTACATCACTGGGGCAAAGCTCCCTGCCATCCAGGACCTCTATACCAGGCGGTGTCAGAGGAAGGCCCTCAAAATTGTCAAAGACTCCAGCCACCCTAGTCATAGACTGTTCTCTCTGCTACCGCACGGCAAGCGGTACCGGAGTGCCAAGTCTAGGTCCAAAAGACTTCTCAACAGCTTCTACCCCCAAGCCATAAGACTCCTGAACAGCTAATCATGGCTACCCGGACTATTTGCACTGCCCCCCCACCCCATCCTTTTTACGCTGCTGCTACTCTGTTAAGTATTTATGCATAGTCACTTTAACTCTACCCACATGTACATATTACCTCAACTAGCCGGTGCCCCCGCACATTGACTCTGCAACGGTACCCCCCTGTATATATAGCCTCCCTACTGTCACTTTATTTTAGTGTATATATAGCCTCCCTACTGTCACTTTATTTTACTTCTGCTCTTTTTTTCTCAACACTTTTTTTGTTGTTGTTTTATTCTTACTTTTTTTGTTTAAAATAAATGCACTGTTGGTTAAGGGCTGTAAGTAAGCATTTCACTGTAATGTCTGCACCTGTTGTATTCGGCGCATGTGACCAATAAAATTTGATTTGATTTGGTCAAGTTGATGTCCTTTGGAAATTTTGCACAGAAAATTGTTGCAGTTTTTTTTGTTGAGTTATTGCATTTTCTACCCGGTCCCTAAACGTCTTTGCTCAGCAAAGAAGCATTCATTCTATCGATTTATGACATTATTCTGGTGAGCAAGGGTTTATTTAGTCTTCTAGGGCAACATATAATGACAGAAGAGAAGCTGCAGGTATCTAATTATAGACAACAGTGGAGGCTGCTGAGTGGAGGGGAGGACAGCTAATAATAATGTCCGGAATGGAGTGAATGGAATGGTATCAAACACGTGTTTGTTTGATACCATTCCATCGATTCCATTCCAGCCATTATTATGAGCCGTCCTCCCCTCAGCAGCCTCCACTGATAGACAAGTTGACTAACAAATAGCCTACCAAAATGTCGGAAATTATAAGCAGAAACATCTATAAAATCAGGCAAAAAAAATCCTGAACCCGGGTAAAAAAAAATGTCTGCTATCTCTGACTGTAGCCTACAGCGCAATTTCTATATTATCGGATTAGGGTCGGGTGCGGGCCTCAGATTTTCACTTTATCACATATAGTCAGGTGGTTGCAGATGGGTAATTAGCAATTGCGGGCGGGTGCCGGTGAACAAACAGCTGACCTGCGCACCATTAATCCTTACATTGCATAATAGCAGAACAAAAACAAAGTTACATTTAGCAGACACTCTTATCCAGAGTGACTTATAATAATCATTTAGAAAACCAGAAAGCAGATCTTTAATTTACATAACCCTTTATAATGTTTCTACATACTTGTATACTTCAGTAAGAGTCAGGTTGCTCTTCAGGCCCAGTATCTCTCTTAAATCGAAGCCAGGTATCATGCCCGGAGTGTCAACAAACTGTGGAGGGGGGAGACACACAATCAATCAATCAGTGAGTCAATTAATTAAGTGTGCATGTATGAGAGTGTGTGTGTATGCGTGAGTGTGTGTTCTTACCTGTAGTAGCTGTCCACTGCGCCAGGGCTGGCAGACCAGTGTGTAGACATTCCCTCCCACTATAAACAGTAGTAACACCACCAGCATGAAGAGCCAGGAAAACAGGAAACTTAGCCCTGCACCCCTACACACACAGGCAAATACGTTGAGATAATTATTTTACCAAATGTCACTTCTGCCCATCCTCATACCCACCCACCCACACAGACAGGCACAGACACAGTGACAGTACTTACGCCATTAGGAAGGTTCCTCCACAGTCGGCGGTGCCGGATCGTTCTTTCGGGTCGGCTTGAGGGCTCAGTCCCACCGGACCCAAAAACAGACCCAGGAGGTTACACACTACGACCAGGAGAACTACACAGCTCAGGATAATACCCACACCCCAACTAGAGAAACAAAAACACAGAGGGATGATTACCTTATCTGTTCAGCCCTGTCAGTGTGTGTGCGTGCCTATGTGTGTGTGTTCATTACCTAATCATCTCTACCTTCTCTGCCTCAGGTGAGTACATGTCGATGTATCTCTGAGCCTCTCCCAGTGTGTCTGAGATCATGCTGAGGGAAGAGACAGGGATGTCTCCCTTCACCAAAGAGATCTGTCTCTTGATGTCGTCAAGCTGTTGCTTCACATCTGAAGGAGAAGGAAAGGGATGAATATACCTCTAGACACTGATCCAAGGTCAGTTTCAAAGGCATTTAGGTTAAAGCATAAGATGTGGCTATAAGGCTAGTAGACATCAGACTCTTGTTAGTGTCGCTGTGAATAATAATGACCTATAACAGCTAGTAGTTTAACTGGACTAGTCCTAGTCCTATAACAGTTAGTAGTGACCTTGAAGGTAAATACTCACTCTGTACAATGTCCCTGGTGTCGTTGGTCACTCTCTGGGGAATACTGGCAAAGAAGTCTTCTCCCTGAAACACACACAGTCAGAAACGTCCTCAGTAACTACTTCAGACTCCAAGGAGTACCCGGCATAAATGATGCATAGAAGTCAATGGATGAAAAATGTTGTAACAAGCATGGATCTCAATTCCTCCCTCACAAACAGCACCATGCTGTGGCATGTCAGTTACACTTCACTAATCCATTTCGGAGGGGGGTGGGGGGGGGGTCTATTTAGTGCAGACAGAGCTGTTTATTTTTTTTATGCAGCTGGCTTGTCCGTTTGTCCCTCTTTATGTCTTTTAGATTTACGTTTACCTTTGAGTTGAGATCAGCCTTTGTGATGAAATTAACAGCCAACTGCAGCTCATTCAGACTGGGGATCTATGGAACATACGCACACACTTTAGGTTACAAACAGCTTATGCTCTTCAATGACTTCTCTGCAGTAAGTGTCATTCTTATGCTTTGGCAGCAGGGGGCAGCAAAACCACAACTATCCACTCAGATGACAAATTCACGTTTTTACTATGGCATATATTGCCTGCCTCATGCTTGTTATAAAAGTAGAACAGTGATAATATAATAAACTGAATTTTAAAAACAACATTGATATGATTACAAATGACACCATTTTCCACAATCATATTACAGTAACATACACCATGGTCTCTTATCCATGGTCCTTTCTTTACCTGTTTGTTCTCCGTCCTACTGGTTTGTTCTCAATAAGGAACTTATCTTGTGTTTCTGATACTGTGTGTGTGTCTGTGTGTGTGTGTGTCTGTCTGTGTGTGTGTGTGCATTATGAACTGTAATTTTCCTGAAACCCAAGCCTCTATTTGTGTTAGCTTGTTTGAGAAAGGGGGGTGGGGGGGGGGGGAGAGGAGGGGAGAGAGTTAACCCACAAACAGACTCAGCGTGCGTCAGCAACAGTAGAGTGGGAGGAGGAGGAACACTCTGAAACCTGACATCATAAGACAACAGCGTGAGCCATTTCCACATAACTAATTTAGTTATGTGGAAGGCCAGCATGCACCGTCCACCACCATACAAAATCACACGACCACACACACTGTCCACAACCACACACACACACACACACACTGTATCATGAACACACGAGAAAGCCAGGTGTTTTAGCTCAATTGTGTTTAACAAAAGGACTGAAACGTTCTTTATCGAGAACAAACCAGAGTAAGATCAAAAGACACACCAGTGCGTACAGGGAGATAATAACTGGGTTATCAGAGCTTCCATGGAATTGATGGAAAGATGAGAAGGGAGAAGGAGGGAAGAAAAAAGGGAGGAAGAGACAAGAGTTGGAGTAGAGAGCGAAATAGAAGAGGAGGATAGAGAATAGAGAACCCAGGGAAGGGGGCCCCCCCCTTTGGGAAAACCCCAAAAAAAATTTCCTCCCCTCTGAAAAAACCCCCCCCGGGGGGGGGAAAGATTTTGGGGGGTTTTTAAAAAAGGGGGGGGAGGAAAAGAATTTTCCCCCCAAAACCCCCCCCCGGGGGGTTTCCCTTTTTTGGCCCTTTTTAAAGCCGGGTTTTTTTTGGTTTTCCCCCCCTTGGTCCCCTGGGGCCCGGTTGTTGGGGGGGGGGGGTTGGGGGGTGGGGGGGCCCCCCCCCCTTTTTTTTTTGGCCCCCAAAACCCCCCTTTGGCCCCAAAAGGGGTTTTTTCCCGGGGGGAAAAGGGACGGGGGCCGTTTTTGGGGCCCCTTAAGGGTCCCCCCGGGGAAAAAAGGGGGGCCCCCCGGGGGGGGGGGGGGGTTTGGGGGTTGGGGGGAAAGCCTTTGGCCCCCCGGGGGGAAAATTTTTTTTGGGGAGTTGGGTTTTGGGGGCCCCGGGGGGGGGTACCCCCCAAGGTTCCCCCGTTGGGGGTGTTTGGGGCCGGGAAAAGGGGGTGGGGGGGGCGGGGGGGTGGGCCCCCGGGGGGGGCCGGGGGCCCCCCCTTTTGGGGGAAACCGGTCGGGCGCGGGGAAAAAAATCTTTTGTCCCGGGGGTGGGGGGGGGTCCCCCCTTTGCTGGTTTCCCCACGAAATTTTACGGATTCCCCCGCTTTTTGCCCACCTTTTTTGGGGCCTCGGGAAAATCCCCCGGGAAGGGGTTTCCTTTGGGTTTTTTAAAAAAAATTTTTTTTGGGGTTTTTTCCCCCCCAAAAAAAAAAAAAAAAAAAGGGGGAAAAAGAAGGGGGGGAAAAAAAAGGGGGGGAAAAAAAAGGGGGGGGAAGGGGAGGAAAGGGGGAAAAAAAAAACAGGGGGGGGGGAAAAAAGGGAAAAAGGGAAAAGAAAAAAAGGGGGGGAAAAGGAAAAAAAAAAAGGGGAAAGGGGAAAAGAAAGAAAAAAAGAAAAACCCCCGTCTCCCCCCCCCCCCTTTTTTCTTTTCCCCCCTTTTGGGCCCCTTCCCCCCCTTTTTCCTCTTTTCCCCCCTTCTCCCCCCTTTTCTTTTTCCTCTTCTCCTCCCCGGGGCCCTCCTTTCTTCTTTCCCCTTCTCTGCTGGGGGGAGGGGAGGGGGGGGGGGGGGAGGGGGGGGGGGTGCGGGGGCGTTGGGGGCACGCCTGGCCTCCAGGGGGCTCGCGGGCCCGACGGGGGCGCCGCCCTCTGCCCTTGGCGGGGCCCAGTTACTCCCCGTGGGGTCTCCTCGGGGCGCGCCCGGGGGGCGCTCCCGGGCTGGAAAAGTTTCCCGTGGTGACTGACGTCCCTTTTCCTCTGGGCTCAGAGCTCTGCCTAGTCTCTTCCCGTCGGACACGCCCAGTGCGTTGCGTCTAAACGATTTCTCGTCAAATCGCCTTTGCGCCCTGCGGCCTCCCTCAGCTGCTCTCTCCCACTCTGCTACCCACTGAAAAGCCAGCCTCTCCGCTCCGAGGAGAGAGAAAAGAGTGGAGAGGAGAGAGAAAAGAGTGGTACCGCAAGACAAGGTTGTACTCACAGTGATAGTTGTGTCAAATGTTAGTTTCTGTAGCTCTGACTGATAGGCAGAACACCCAGCACAGTCAGGGTTTCTCAATGTGCTGTTGATGCGGTCTCTGACAGAGGTAACATTAGCCTGGACCACAGTCACATCAGACTGGAGCTGGGTTAGAGTAGAGTTCAACCCCACCAGCAGTACACTGGTACGGTTCATCACTACGATACAGATACAACATACACACAGATTAAAATGTCAGAAGACTTTTGACTTTTGAAAGCTCTTTATTAAACCATTCATGTAGAGAATTAAAATGAAACTATTTCAGAAGAGGAATAAACACACACAAACAAACAAACACCACACGCACACAAACACACAGATTATCATATCAGAAGAGGAATACACACGACCACACACATGAACACACACACACAGGATGGAGTTGTACCTTTGGCCATATCTCTGACAGACTTCAGGGCAGGATTCAGGGGGCCCTCTAGACGTCTCTGGATCTCTCTGCCCAGCAGAGGACCCATGTCTGGGGGAGAGACAAGAGAGAGAAGGTAGAGATGTACAGTTGAAGTCGGAAGTTTACATACACCTTAGCCAAAAACATTTAAACTCCGTTTTTCACAATTCCTGACATTTAATCCTAGTAAAAATCCCCTGTCTGTTAGGATCACCACTTTATTTTAAGAATGTGAAATGTCAGAATAATAGTAGAGAGAATGATTTATTTCAGCTTTTATTTCAGCTTTTATTTATTTCATCACATTCCCTGTGGGTCAGAAGTTTACATACACTCAATTAGTATTTGGTAGCATTGCCTTTAAATTGTTTAACTTGGGTCAAACGTTTCGGGTAGCCTTCCACAAGCTTCCCACAATAAGTTGGGTGAATTTTGGCCCATTCCTCCTGACAGAGCTGGTGTAACTGAGTCCGGTTTGTAGGCCTCCTTGCTCACACACGCTTTTTCAGTTCTGCCCACAAATGTTCTATAGGATTGAGGTCAGAGCTTTGTGATGGCCACTCCAATACCTTGACTTTGTTGTCCTTAAGCCATTTTGCCACAACTTTGGAAGTATGCTTGGGGTCATTGTCCATTTGGAAGACCCATTTGCAACCAAGCTTTAACTTTCTGACTGATGTCTTGAGATGTTGCTTCAATATAATAATTTTCCTTCCTCAGGATGCCATCTATTTTGTGAAGTGCACCAGTCCCTCCTGCAGCAAAGCACCCCCACAGCATGATGCTGCCACCCCCGTGCTTCACGGTTGGGATGGTGTTCTTCGGCTTGCAAGCCTTCCCCTTTTTCCTCCAAACATAACGATGGTCATTATGGCCAAACAATTCTATTTTTGTTTCATCAGACCAGAGGACATTTCTCCAAAAAGTAAGATCTTTGTCCCCATGTGCAGAAGCTTCTAAAGCCATGCCATCATTTTCTGGAATTTTCCAAGCTGTTTAAAGGCACAGTCAACATAGTGTATGTAAACTTCAGACCCACTGGAATTGTGATACAGTGAATTATAAGTGAAAAAATCTGTCTGTAAACAATTGTTGGAAAAATGACTTGGTGTCTTGCACAAAGTAGATGTCCTAACCGACTTGCCAAAACTATAGTTTATTAACAAGAAATTGGTGGAGTGGTTGAAAAACAAGTTTTAATGTCTCCAACCTAAGTGTATGTAAACTTCAACTGTATGTAATTGTTGACCAGTGTTTCTCAAATGGTGGATGGCAGTCTCTTCTGAGTCAGAACAACAATTGACATAATTGTTTCAGTGCATTTGTACTTTGCAGAACTTTTGCACGCATTATGTGACTATCTAGAACTGGGATCATCAACTAGATTCAGCAGCGGGACAATATTTTCTTGAGCGTATGGTCGGGTGGCCGGAACATAAATACAAATAATTTGTAGACTGCAAATTGACTGCAATAAGCCCAAACAGATATAATATTTGACTAAACATAATCATTTCAAACCTTACATTTGTATACGATCACGTCTCTCTATTATCCTTGGGATTACTTCGGAACAGATTTCCAAATTTAAAATCACTTGCAGCTGTTTTTTTTGCACAGAAAACTTGAGGGGGCCAAATAAAATCAACCGCGGGCCACCTTTTTGGGAACCCTGATCTATAAGCTCAGGTACTCACCATTGAGGTTTCTGGTAACCTCATCCACTGTCTTATTGCTCTCCATCAGCACACTGTCAATTTGCTGATGAGAGACAGGAGACAAACACACTTAGATAAAGGAGAGACGACATAAACTTGCAAGACTCCCTCAAACACATTTAAACACAAATACTGAAACTATGCACCGAAACATCAAAGCCACTACCGAAAGCCAAAGTGATTTACCACACAACCCTGCCCGACCATTACCTTATCCCTCTCTCCCCCTTTCTCTCCCTCACCACCGTCTCACCCTCTCTCCCTTTCTCTGAGTCTCTCAGTTAAATGCGGAAGACACATTTCAATTGAATGCATTCAGTTGTATAACTGACTAGGTATCCCCCTTTGCCTCTCTATCCTCCCTGCCTTCATCACCCTTCTCCTGCTTTCTACCTCCCTCATTCCCACTGTCCCCTCTCCCTCTGTTGTATCAGATAAATGTGTTCACAGTGCAGGCTGGACGGCCAGTTAATGATTAAGGTGAATGGGAGACTAATGGTGTATGTGTGTGTGTGTGTGTGTGTGTGTGTGTTTGTGTGTGTGTAGCTGCTCTCTAGGAGGAAATTGATGGTAGGTGGGGTGGTTTATGTACTAACTGTGAATAGAAGCTTTAGGTCAGTAACTGATCTATAGGTGGTTGTGTGTCAACAGAAGATAAGTGACAAGCCATCCAAGTAATTTATTACAGGATACTTAACAGCAGAGAATATGGAATATGTTTACTAAATGTGTGTACCCATTCAAACATATACAGCTGCTACTTTCAGCTATATCTAACGTTTTATAAACAAAAAAACTAAACTAAACTGGTCTTAGTTCTACTTCATTCATTATTTTGGTTTTCCCTTCTGGAAATAATAGGAAAGTTCTCTCACACACAAACACTTACCTGTGGGACAGCGGTGAGGTAGGTTTGGAGGTTGTCCAGTGTATTGCTGAGTTCTACAGAGCTGTCCTTGACACTCACTTTCAGTAACTGGTTACTGAAGAACATGCAGATGTTCCCTGCACTACACACACACACACACACACACACACACACACACACACGAATGCACGCACACAAATACACGCATGCACAGAAAAGTTAGTTTGTTTCACTTCATATCCAAATACACTCCCCTCCATATGTATTTGGACAGTGAAGCAAAAAAAAAGTTATTTGGCTCTATACTCCAGCATTTTGGATTTCAGATCAAATGTTTAATATTAAGCAACAGTACAGTATGTACCTTATATTTGTGGGTATTTTCATACATACAGTGGGGGAAAAAAAGTATTTAGTCAGCCACCAATTGTGCAAGTTCTCCCACTTAAAAAGATGAGAGAGGCCTGTAATTTTCATCATAGGTACACGTCAACTATGACAGACAAATTGAGAATTTTTTTCTCCCAGAAAATAACATTGTAGGATTTGTAATGAATTTATTTGCAAATTATGGTGGAAAATAAGTATTTGGTCACCTACAAACAAGCAAGATTTCTGGCTCTCACAGACCTGTAACTTCTTCTTTAAGAGGCTCCTCTGTCCTCCACTCGTTACCTGTATTAATGGCACCTGTTTGAACTTGTTATCAGTATAAAAGACAGCTGTCTACAACCTCAAACAGTCACACTCCAAACTCCACTATGGCCAAGACCAAAGAGCTGTCAAAGGACACCAGAAACAAAATTGTAGACCTGCACCAGGCTGGGAAGACTGAATCTGCAATAGGTAAGCAGCTTGTTTTGAAGAAATCAACTGTGGGAGAAATTATTAGGAAATGGAAGACATACAAGACCACTGATAATCTCCCTCGATCTGGGGCTCCACGCAAGATCTCACCCCGTGGGGTCAAAATGATCACAAGAACGGTGAGCAAAAATCCCAGAACCACACGGGGGGACCTAGTGAATGACCTGCAGAGAGCTGGGACCAAAGTAACAAAGCCTACCATCAGTAACACACTACGCCGCCAGGGACTCAAATCCTGCAGTGCCAGACGTGTCCCCCTGCTTAAGCCAGTACATGTCCAGGCCCGTCTGAAGTTTGCTAGAGTGCATTTGGATGATCCAGAAGAGGATTGGGAGAATGTCATATGGTCAGATGAAACCAAAACATAACATTTTGGTAAAAACTCAACTCGTCGTGTTTGGAGGACAAAGAATGCTGAGTTGCATCCAAAGAACACCATACCTACTGTGAAGCATGGGGGTGGAAACATCATGCTTTGGGGCTGTTTTTCTGCAAAGGGACCAGGACGACTGATCCGTGTAAAGGAAAGAATGAATGGGGCCATGTATCGTGAGATTTTGAGTGAAAACCTCCTTCCATCAGCAAGGGCATTGAAGATTAAACGTGGCTGGGTCTTTCAGCATGACAATGATCCCAAACACACCGCCCGGGCAACGAAGGAGTGGCTTCGTAAGAAGCATTTCAAGGTCCTGGAGTGGCCTAGCCAGTCTCCAGATCTCAACCCCATAGAACATCTTTGGAGGGAGTTGAAAGTCCGTGTTGCCCAGCGACAGCCCCAAAACATCACTGCTCTAGAGGAGATCTGCATGGAGGAATGGGCCAAAATACCAGCAACAGTGTGTGAAAACCTTGTGAAGACTTACAGAAAATGTTTGACCTGTGTCATTGCCAACAAAGGGTATATAACAAAGTATTGAGAAACTTTTGTTATTGACCAAATACTTATTTTCCACCATAATTTGCAAATAAATTCATTAAAAATCCTACAATGTGATTTTCAGGATTTTTTTTCTCATTTTGTCTGTCATAGTTGACGAGTACCTATGATGAAAATTACAGGCCTCTCTCGTCTTTTTAAGTGGGAGAACTTGCACAATTGGTGGCTGACTAAATACTTTTTTCCCCCACTGTATCTGTTTTGCCATTTATAAATGAATGTACTTCATGTATCTAGTCCTCCCATGTGAAGAAGTCATATATATTTGGACAAATTCACTTATAGGGTATTAAAGTAGTCAAAAGTTTTGTCTTTGGTCCCATATTCCTTGCACGCAATAACTACATCAAACTTGTGACTCTACAAACTCATTGAATGCATTTGCAGTTTGTTTTGAGTTATGTTTTGCCCAGTAGTAACCGAATGGTGAATGATGACTGGAATCATTTTCTTTCTAAGTGAGTGGATAAGATTTTTGTAAATTAATCCTGATAATGCCATAATTAAGAAAAAACATGAATGAGTGAGAAACCTACAGAGGCTACAACAAACATGCTAACCTCTCACCAATAACATGGGAGGTTTGGATTTTTGGAGGGTATGATCTTTGTTCCTCTGTAACCTTCTCACTCATCAATATTCACAAATGTAGAACACATTAACCTTCTATTCTTACTTACAATAGAAGTGACTCCAAAATTGCACACAAAACATCGAAAACACAACCAAAACAAACCACAAATGCATCCAAGAAGTTTGTAGAGTCATAAGCTTGGTTTAGTCATTGTGTGCAAAGAATATGGGACCAAATACTAAAATGTACCCTACTTTAATACACAATAAGTGAATTTGTCAAAATACTTATGATTTATTCAAATGGGGGGGTCTAGATACATAAAGTGATTTCATTTTTAAAAGGTAAAACAGATACGTATGAAAATACCCTCAAAAATACCCTGCCTTACATGAAATATTCTCTCAAATCTAAACTGCTGGAGTACAGAGCCAAATAAAAAAATAAAAAATGCTTCACTGTCCAAATACATATGGAGAGTGCACTTATTCTGTCACACAAAAACACACACACACACTGCTGAAAAAGACTGCATAGACTAGCATACATTTCAAGCTGGTCCATGCTGGTCAGTGCTGGTCAGATGCTGGTCTAGCCAGCATGGTCTAGCTGGTTTTGCCTGCTGACCAGCATGGTCTAGCTGATCAAGCGGTTCTTTGACCAGCATGGTCTAGCTGGTTAAGCACATCTGACCAACATGGTCTAGCTGGTTTTTCTGGTGACCAGCCTTCGCTGTGTTTTGAATACTGGTGACCAGCTTTCGCTGTGTTTTGGACACATTTCACATTTAAGTCATTTAGCAGACGCTCTTATCCAGAGTGAATTACAGTTAGTGCATTCATGTTAAGATAGCTAGGTGGGACAACCACATATCACAGTCATAGTAAGTAAAATGTTCCACAATAATGTAGCTATGATGTTGATAGTAGGTCATGATGGTGATGGTGGTATGATGGTGACCAAGCTGGTCTATGGGAGTCCAGCATGGTCTAGCTCAGGGATGGGCAACTTTGATGGGGGTGGTGGCCACAGAAAATCTGAACTCATCATGAGGGGCTGCAGTGGCTTGCGGGTCTGCTTACCCACATGTATACCCACACATGCAGTCAGAGCCGGCCCTAGCATTTTGGGGGCCCTAAGTGATATTTTGGTCACCAGCAAAACACCGCGAAGGCTGATCACCACGAAAACACAACGAAAGCACCTCAAAAACACAGCAAAGGTTTTTCAACAGGGCACACACTTACAGTATGACTAGTGTTGTGAGTAGTGTAGCCCAGTATAATCCTCTCCTGTGACAGTGGACAGCTTTAGTCTGTTCCTGGTACATGTGTCCTCCACAGTGTCCACAGCAGCGACAGCAGGCCAGGCAGAACCCCACCAGGGGCATCAGGATAATGTACACAATCCCTATAACAGCACACACTAGGAAACCAACTTCATAGAGAAGGACCTGAGGAGATTCATACACACACACACACACACACACACACACAGGTTAACACACACACTTAGTATGGTGCCTTACATAAAGCTCTCTCAGGTTACTGCCTAAAGGATAACTGAGGAGGGAGTGTCTGTGGCTAGTACACACACCTCTGCCACACACACACACACTGTAGAAAAATGCTGTCCTGCTCCTCTCCTCTCTACCTAACTTCCCCTCAAGGTCCCTTTAGTTTATCTTAAGTCCTGTTAGTTTGGCTGCTCAGCCTACCCAAGTTATCCCTCACCCATTTTAGCCCTGCCATTCCCAACCAATCAGAGCACTTGGAAATGCGCATCTGGACACTGCACCCACCCACTCAGGTCAGAGTATTATCGTCGTCCGGGAGAAGGGAGAAGGACGCATGTTTCTGAGGACTTTTTATTGTCGACAGTAACACGAATGTCTGAATGTTATGCGTACATCAAAATGTAAGTTGCAAGCAAGGGTTTTTTATTGGGGATTTTACATGCTGTGTAATAATAGGTAATTACCACTAATTACTTCATGTTACTTTGCTAGGTTTCAGCCATATGTCCTACTGTATGGCTATTAGTATTCTTTCATGTTAGAGTTGCCAATGCTGCTTTGCGTATTGTTTATCGTATGTAGTATTATTCCGTACTGCCGTAAGTGTTATTATTGCATTGGTTGCACAAGTACTTTTGCAGAAGTGGTTTAGTTATTGTATTGGTAAACATAGTCTTTGCATGCACATGCTAACACAGCATTTTCCATATTAGCCTTAATTAAGGTGTTTTATTGCGCTGCCATGGGCAAGCTTCTAGTCACCCCAGACAGTTCTTGGAACTTGCTCATGCGCAGAGTAATTTACGACCCTGTGGCGTCAGGGCAGATCTGATAAGGTCTCAGCCTGGCAGATTCTCACACAAGGCTGCAGAGAGAGGGTGCCATAAATCTTGACCCTTTGTCAATCCAAGTAATTGATTTCTCTCTCTCTCTCTCCAATAGGTGAATGTTTAAGTTTATGATTATATAGATCAGGGGTGTCAAACTCATTTTAGCTCAGGGGCCACATGGAGGAAAATCTATTCCCAAGTGGGCCGGACCGGAAAAATCAGGGTATATATAACTTAAAAACAACAACTTCAGATTGTTTTCTTTGTTTTAATACGATCAACATACAACATAAAGCTGGAGCCTGAGGACAGTGTGTCCAAAATAGTACAAGCACAACATCACTATTAATCATAAAACACGTCAAGTTTATTTGAAAATTCTAAAGAAAAAGAACACACAAACACACAATGCCTCAGTGATTAACAGAACTGTTTCACAGATCACAGAAATATATCAGGGTGTCATTTCTCAGGCAGAAATGTAGATAAAAATAATGAAATCCTGTTCCCCAAACAAGTGCAAGAACCACAGAGTCAAGAATAGGTTAAATATACAAATAAAATAAAATCAATTAAAAACAATAGCATATCAACATAAAAACATATAAACATAAATCTGAAAGCGTTGCTCAAACTCCCGTAACAGTCCCGTTATTTTATCTTTGAACCGCTTCATGTCTGCCACATGTTGGGTCGCGCACACATTTTTCAGACAGGGGAAGTGAGCTGCATCACCACCGGCAAGTTGCGTCTCCCACAATGACAGCTTCAACTTGAAAGAACGTATGCTGTCATAATATTGCGTGACAACTTTGTTGCGCCCTTGCAGCTGTTTGTTCAAGTTATTCAGGTGCTCTGTAAAATCCACCATAAATGCAAGATCCTGCATCCATTCTGCGGAATGAAATTCTAACACTGGTTTGCCCTTTTCTTCCATGAACTGTTCAATTTCTTCTCGTAAATCAAAGAAACGCCTCAGCACAGCACCTCGGCTTAACCATCTTACCTCAGTGTGGTATGGCAGGCCATATATGTGGTATTTCTCTCTGAGAAGGCTGTCAAACTGACGGTGATTCAGGCTTCTGGATCGGATGAAATTAACAGTTTGGATGACCACCTTCATGACGTTATCCATCTTTAATGACTTGCAACACAAAGCCTCCTGGTGCAAAATACAGTGAACAGTCAAAAAATCACGTCCTCCATTTGCAGATTGCACTTTCTCTCTGAACTTTGTCACAACGCCTGCTTTTTTCCCGATCATTGAGGGCGCACCATCTGTAGCCAGGCTGACAGCGCGGGACCAGTCCACTCCGACCCTGTCCAGCGCGCCGACGAGTGCGGTAAAAATATCAGCTGCTGTCGTTGTATCTGTCATCGGCACCAACTCCACGAACTCCTCGGTGACGGTCAATGTGTCATCAACTCCGCGGATGAAAATGGCCAGTTGTGCAACATCTGTAATGTCCGTGCTTTCATCAATTGCAACCGAAAACGCAATAAATGACTTTACTTTTTGCTTCAACTGGCTGTCCAAATCCACTGAAAGATCGGAAATCCTGTCTGCAACTGTGTTTCTTGTCAGGCTGATATTTGCAAAAGCCTGCCGCTTTTCAGGGCACACAATCTCCGCTGCCTTCATCATGCATGTTTTTACAAATTCACCCTCACTAAATGGTTTTGAAGCCACTGCGATTTCATTAGCAATGAGGTAGCTAGCTTTCACTGCAGCGTCACTGATGTCTCGGCTGTGAGTAAACACAGACTGCTGTTTCTTCAGACCCGCCAACAGTTCATTCACCTTCTCTCATCTCCGCTGTCCTTGAAAGTTGTCATATTTGTTGGCATGAAGACTCACATAGTGGCGACAAAGGTTATATTCTTTCAGCACTGCAACATGCTCTGAACACACCAAACATACAGCTTTCCCATTCAATTCTGTGAATAAATAGGATGACCATTTTTCTTGGAACACTCTGCGTCCACTTTTCTCTTTTTTGACAGAGACATATTGGGGCAATGAGGGTGCCAAAGCACATAATGTTAAAAGTAGAAGCCGTAATAAATATCGCGGGCAAAACAAAGTAGCTCATTGGCTGCACGTGCTTGACCTACTTGCTCTGCCCCGGTATAAACAGTTTGCTTGCTTAACACAATTGCTATTGCGCCATCCAGTGGACGCAATTGGAACAGCAGTTTATTTTTTTGAAAAATTGCAGCGCATTTTTATACTTTACAATTATTATTATTTTTTATCATCTCGCGGGCCGGATTAAACCCGTTTGCGGGCCTGATCCGGCCCACGGGCCGGACGTTTGACACCCCTGATATAGATGCTGTGTTTATAGCCCTTTGTAGACCTGTTGTATGTGTAATGCAATTTGCCATTTATTCACGTACATATATGTATATTGCATAGTTATAACCACTAACTAATACTATTTACATGTGTGCATATCTTTGTCTTATAGAACCACAACAATAAGATTCCAAGTCATTCGGATTACTAAAATCATCTAAACATCCTCAAATGGAAACAGCTGTGTCTGTGTGTGTGTGTGGTGGTGACTATCAAGAGCACAGTGATGGGCCTCAACATCATGTTCTAACCGGACAGCACTATAGAGGGCAGAACCAAACCAATCAGTTAGAAGTATATAGCGGGTGCGGGCATTCTCAGCCGACCGCTCAGACGGGTGAGGGCATACCAGCCAACCGTTTTTACGTGGTCCTTCTAGATGGATTTAGTGACTAACAGTTTTTTACATGGTCCGTCATTTCTCTGGATTTAGCGACCAATAATTTATACATGGTCCTCTAGAGTGCACAGTCCACGACACCAAGGTCTGCACCCTGCTCATCCAGCTCCTCAACTAGCCAGAGTTAACGAGATCCGCTCCAGTCGTGGAGCCACAGCCAACAGCTGCCATGGGGCCTGTTCTGGTTGTCGCTGCGGAGTCGTCCTCTCCTCCCAGTGGGGATCCCCTGCTAGTCGAGGCAGACGCTCAGGTGCCAGAGGTTCGACTGTCTGCAACCCTGGAACCTTCCGCCACAAAGACATCTCCAGTCATAGCCTGGTGGGACCTGCCGGTCCCAGGCCTGGAGTCCCTGCTGGCTCCACCTGCTAGCACTATAACGGTGACCGTATTACCGCCACACCAGTGGTCACGAGTAATGATGGGAGTCAAATTCCATGTGACCGTTTAGTCACAGTAATTAGGCTTCTCCAAGCTCTGATGCTGCTGATGGTCATTAGTAGCCTACCAAACTTGCTAACTGCCTGGTACTCCGCACTCTATTGTCCCTTTAATCACTCTGACATCAATGCAAATGTAATCGAAAATCTAATCAAACACTTCATGAGAGCACATGAGCACATGTTGTGCAACATTTCTATAGGCTATGCAATTGCATGAAAAAACAGAGTGATGGCCTCTATTAAAAAGAGGAGGATCCCATCAGCTTTATATACAGTGGGGAGAACAAGTATTTGATACACTGCCGATTTTGCAGGTTTTCCTACTTACAAAGCATGTAGAGGTCTGTAATTTTTATCATAGGTACACTTCAACTGTGAGAGACGGAATCTAAAACAAAAATCCAGAAAATAACATTGTATGATTTTTAAGTAATTAATTTGCATTTTATTGCATGACATAAGTATTTGATCACCTACCAACCAGTAAGAATTCCGGCTCTCACAGACCTGTTAGTTTTTCTTTAAGAAGCCCTCCTGTTCTCCACTCATTACCTGTATTAACTGCACCTGTTTGAACTCGTTACCTGTATAAAAGACACCTGTCCACACACTCAATCAAACAGATTCCAACCTCTCCACAATGGCCAAGACCAGAGAGCTGTGTAAGGACATCAGGGATATAATTGTAGGCCTGCACGAGGCTGGGATGGGCTACAGGACAATAGGCAAGCAGCTTGGTGAGAAGGCAACAACTGTTGGCGCAATTATTAGAAAATGGAAGAAGTTCAAGATGACGGTCAATCACCCTCGGTCTGGGGCTCCATGCAAGATCTCACCTCGTGGGGCATCAATTATCATGAGGAAGGTGAGGGATCAGCCCAGAACTACACGGCAGGACCTGGTCAATGACCTGAAGAGAGCTAGAACCACAGTCTCAAAGAAAACCATTAGTAACACACTACGCCGTCATGGATTAAAATCCTGCAGCGCACGCAAGGTCCCCCTGCTCAAGCCAGCGCATGTCCAGGCCCGTCTGAAGTTTGCCAATGACCATCTGGATGATCCAGAGGAGGAATTGGAGAAGGTCGTGTGGTCTGATGAGACAAAAATAGAGCTTTTTGGTCTAAACTCCACTCGCCGTGTTTGGAGGAAGAAGAAGGATGAGTACAACCCCAAGAACACCATCCCAACCGTGAAGCATGGAGGTGGAAACATCATTCTTTGGGGATGCTTTTCTGCAAAGGGGACAGGACGACTGCACCGTATTGAGGGGAGGATGGATGGGGCCATGTATCGCGAGTCTGCAACACCACTAAGCAAGGGGCACCACCAAGCAAGTGGCACCATGAAGACCAATGAGCTCTCCAAACAGGTCAGGGACAAAGTTCTGGAGAAGTACAGATCAGGGTTGGGTTATAAAAAAAAATCCTAAACTTTGAACATCCCACGGAGCACCATTAAATCCATTATTAAGAAATGGAAAGAATATGGCACCACAACAAACCTGCCAAGAGAGGGCCGCCCACCAAAACTCACGGACCAGGCAAGGAGGCCATTAATCAGAGAGGCAACAAAGAGACCAAAGATAACCCTGAAGGAGCTGCAAAGCTCCACAGCGGAGATTGGAGTATCTGTCCATAGGACCACTTTAAGCCATACACTCCACAGAGTTGGGCTTCACGGAAGAGTGTCCAGAAAAAACTAATTGCTTAAAGAAAAAAATAAGCAAACACGTTTGGTGTTCGCCAAAAGGCATGTGGGAGACTCCCCAAACATATAGAAGAAGGTACTCTGGTCAGATGAGACTAAAATTTAGCTTTTTGGCCATCAAGGAAAATGCTATGTCTGGCGCAAACCCAACACTTCTCATCACCCCGAGAACACCATCCCCACAGTGAAGCATGGTGGTAGCATCATGCTGTGGGGATGTTTTTCCATCGGCAGGGACTGGGAAACTGGTCAGAATTGAAGGAATGATGGATGGCGCTAAATACATGGAATTCCTTGAGGGAAACCTGTTTCAGTCTTCCAGAGATTTGAGACTGGGACGGAGGTTCACCTTCCAGCAGGACAATGACCCTAAGCATATTGCTAAAGCAACACTCGAGTGGTTTAAGGGGAAACACTTAAATGTCTTGGAATGGCCTAGTCAAAGCCCAGACCTCAATCCAATTGAGAATCTGTGGTATGACTTAAAGATTGCTGTACACCAGCAGAACCCATCCAACTTGAAGGAGCTGGAGCAGTTTTGCCTTGAAGAATGGGCAAAAATCCCAGTGGCTAGATGGGCCAAGCTTATAGAGACATAGCCCAAAATACTTTCAGCTGTAATTGCTGCAAAAGGTGGCTCTACAAAGTATTGACATTGGGGGGGGGGGGGGGGGGGGGGGGGGGTGAATAGTTATGCATTGTTTTTTTGTCTTATTTCTTGTTTGTTTCAGAAGAAAACATATTTTGCATCTTTAAAGTGGTAGGCTTGTTGTGTAAATCAAATGATACAAATCCCCCAAAAATCAATTTTAATTCCAGGTTGTAAGGCAACAAAATAGGAAAAATGCCAAGGGGGGTGAATACTTTCGCAAGCCACTGTATAGGAGTACCTGTTTCTTTGTTAACTGCTCAACACAGAATTGCCTCATGTGCGCACTCCCTCAAATCGTTTGGAGAAAATATATTTTCTATTTTACTCAGCTATGTTAAATTGTATTCTTCCTACTATAAAATAATGCCATGGAATTCTAAGCAAATCTTGCCTGCTAAATTAACTAGTGTAGCCCACAGCCATATGGCATAGCCAGATCAAATCCCAACATAAGGACAACGCAGAGTATGCTATTCTGTTCTTCTGAAATAGACTACATTTTCTTCATATCATGTTTCTTTAGACCTGTCTAGATTTATTGTGATGGTGTAGGCTATATTACATGGATTTATTATACTTTTTTAAACGCAGATGTTCCAAAGGTCTGCATCAGTGGCTTGTAGGCTATGCGTGGAAGCCAGGAGATGCTAAATGTGTTTATGTTAATGAATGGTCAATTACCGTGACACTGGCAGTTATTTGCTTGACGAATCACTGGCTGATAGAATTTCATGACCGCCACAGCCCTAGTTCAGAGCTGTTCTCCCTGTCAGGTCCAGAGTCAGTTTCCCTGTCAGGTCCAACATCAATTTCCCTGGCAGGTCCAGATTCGTTCTCCCTGGCAGGTTCAGGGTCTTTCTCCCTGTCAGGTTCAGGGTCGTTCTCCCTGTCAGGTTCAGGGTCTTTCTCCCTGTCAGGTTCAGGGTCTTTCTCCCTGTCAGGTTCAGGGTCGTTCTCCCTGTCAGGTTCAGGGTCGTTCTCCCTGTCAGGTTCAGGGTCGTTCTCCCTGTCAGGTTCAGGGTCGTTCTCCCTGTCAGGTCCAGGGTCGTTCTCCCTGTCAGGTCCAGGGTCGTTCTCCCTGTCAGGTCCAGGGTCGTTCTCCCTGTCAGGTCCAGAGTCGTTCTCCCTGTCAGGTCCAGAGTTGTTCTCCCTGTCAGGTCCAGAGTCAGCTTCCCTGTCAGGCCCAAAGTTATCAGCACTAGGATCCGAGCCTTCAGACGTTCTAGTTTTGCGGTCTCCAGCTCTAGTCGGCCCTCAGTCCACTGCTCCGCCAGGCTATAGGTTCTCTGCCCCATTAGGTCTGCAGCATCTGCCCTCAGTTGGTCCGCAGCCCCCAGCCTCAGTCGGCAAACAGTCAGCTCCCTCAGTGCTACACGCCAAACCCGTCCCGCTAGACCCAGAGTTATCTCCTCCTCTAGGTGTGCAATTAGACCGTTCACAGCCCTCAGCCTGTACCCCGTCGCCTATACTAGCGCTAGACTATACGATCCATGCTCGGCTAGGTTTTCAGCCTCCCATCATACCTGGCTTGAAGTCCTCATATTTAGTAGTGGGTTCCAAGTCCCCTGCTCTGCTAGGCCCTCAGCTCCCTGACCTGGGGGAACCACCGTTCCCTGATCCGGTGGGCCTGCTGTCTCTATTTCTGGGGGGCCCCCTGCCTTGGACGACCCTCAGCCCTTCCCATGTGGGAGACCACCTGACCTCGTCTCTGGGGCCCAGCCAGCCCCTGCCTCCAGATCCCTGATGATCCTCGCCCAGGGATCCCCACATGCTCCACCATGGGAGTCATCGCTTTCAGCAGTGGTGAAAGAGTCACCAGCCTCAGCCGCAGCCAGTGAGCTGCCAACGACAGTTGTGGCCGGCATGCCACATTCCTACACCGCAGTAGGCGAGCCACCTGCTTCAGCCGTGGCCAGCCTCTGTCATTGCACTCAGCGTCTAAGGATGGGGCCCAGCTGCCCTGCACCAGCTGAGTTAGAGGGCCCTCCCCCACCCACATTGCGTTCCATGGGGCTGCCCAGGACTGTCTCCGCGTATCTGTGTACCTCCCTCGCGGGGAGGCCCATAAGCCCTGCCGGGTAGGATTAGGCACGGGAGGAATAAGCTTGGAAATGCGCATCTGGACACTGCACCCTCCCACTCAGGTCAGAGTGTTTTCATTGTCGACAGTAACATGAATGTCTGAATGTTGTGCGTGCATCAAAATGTAAGTTGCAGGGAGGGTTTATTGGGGATTTTACATGCTGTGTAATAATAGGTAATTACCACTAATTACTTCATGTTACTTTGCTAAGTTTCAGCCATATGTCCTACTGTATGGCTATTAGTATTTTTTTATGTTAGAGTTGCCAATGCTGCTTTGTGTATTGTTTATCGAATGTAGTATTATTCCATACTGCCATAAGTGTTATTATTGCATTGGTTGCACAAGTACTTTTGCAGAAGTGGTTTAGTTATTGTATTGGTAAACATAGTCTTTGCATGCACATGCTAACACAGCGTTTTCCATAGTGGCCTTAATTAAGGTGTTTTATTTCGCTGCCATGGGCGAGCTTCTAGAGTCACCCCAGACAGTTCTTGGAGCTTCTCCAGACTTGACGCTTGGCATTCAGGCCAAAGAGTTCAATCTTGGTTTCATCAGACCAGATAATCTTGTTTCTCATGGTCTGAGAGTCTTTAGATGCCTTTTGGCAAACTCCAAGCGGGCTGTCACGTGCCTTTTACTGAGGAGTGGCTTCCGTCTGGCCACTCTACCTTAAAGACCTAATTGGTGGAGTGCTGCAGAGATGGTTGTCCTTCTGGAAGGTTCTCCAATCTCCACAGAGGAACTCTGGAGCTCTGTCAGAGTGACCATCGGGTTCTTGGTCACCTCCCTGACCAAGGCCCTTCTCCCACGATTGCTCAGTTTTGCTGGGCGGAAGAGTCTTGGTAGCTCCAAATTCCTTCCATTTAAGACTGAGGACACGGTGTTCTTGGGGACCTTCAATGCTGAATAAATGTTTTGGTACCCTTCCCCAGATCTGTGCCTCGACACAATCTTGTCTCAGAGCTCTACAGACAATTCCTTCGACCTCATGGCTTGGTTTTTGGTCTGACATGCACTGTCAACTGTGGGACCTTATATAGACAGGTGTGTTCCTTTACAAATCATGTCCAATCAATTGAAATAACCACAGGTGGACTCCAATAAAGTTGTAGAAACATCTCAAGGATGATCAATGGAAAAAGGATGCACCTGAGCTCAATTTCGAATCTCATAGCAAAGGGTCTGAATACTTATATAAATAAGGGTGTTCTTTCATATAAGTTTGCAAAAAATTCTAAAAACCTGTTTTCGCTTTTTCATTATTGGGTATTGTGTGTAGATTGCTGAGGAAATTATTTTATTTAATCCATTTTAGAATAAGGCTGTAAAGTAACAAAATGTGGAAAGAGTCAAGGTCTGAATACTTTCCGAAGGCGCTGTATATGTATATTGCATAGTTATAACCATTAACTAATACTATTTACATGTGTGCATATCTTTGTCTTATAGAATTACAACAATAAGATTCGAAGTCATTCGGATTACTAAAATCATATAAACATCCTCAAATGGAAACAGCTGTGTCTGTGTGTGTGTGTGGTGGTGACTATCAAAAGTACAGTGATGGGCCTCAACATCATGTTCTAACCGGACAGCACTATAGACGGCAGAACCAAACCAATCAGTTAGAAGTATATAGCGGGTGAGGGCATTCACCGCTGACCGCTCAGACGGTGAGGGCATACCAGCCAACCGTTTTTACGTGGTCCTTCTAGACGGATTTAGTGACTAACAGTTTTCTACATTGTCCGTAATTTCTCTGGATTTAGCGACCAATCGTTTTTACACACACACACACACACACACACACACACACACACACACACACGCACGCATCCATCTTTTCTTACCTCTGTGATGATCTTGCTGTCATATATATTGCCCCTTTCCTCCACTAATTTAACCAGCAGATCTAGGAGAGAGGAATGGAGAGGGAGAAAGAGGGAGAGAGAGAAAGAAGGGATGAGGATCTGGATAAGTACTACATGAATGTAGAAGTGTAAAGGTTTTGAAATCATACTGTACATGAAAGCAAATATGAAAACATGTTCAGTTGGTATTGCCACTCCCTTTCTATTTTCTATACACACATAAACAGAACACAGTGTGGAACAATCTTTAAAATGTTCTTACATTTGATGTTTTGGTGCCTCTAGGCCAATTCAGAAAGCTGATTGAGGACCTTTTTACTGATGAATGTGCCCTCAGTTTCACCCTCACCCTCTCTCTTCTCTCTCATTCTCTCTGACAACATTACTCTCTATAATTTTTTCATTTACTTGCAGAAATCAAACCTACTGTATGTTATTTAAATGTAACCTACAGTGCCTTGCAAAAGTATTCATCCCCCTTGGCGTTTTTCCTATGTTGTTGCATTACAACCTGTAATTTAAATTTCATGTAATGGACATACACAAAATAGTCCAAATTGGTGAAGTGAAATGAAAAAAATAACTTGTTTCAAAAAACTAATAACGGAAAAGTGGTGCATGCATATGTATTCCCCCCCTTTGCTATGAAGCCCCTAAATAAGATCTGGAGACACAAATACCTTCAGAAGTCACATAATTAGTTAAATAAAGTCCACCTGTGTGCAATCTAAGTGTCACATGATCTGTCACATGATCTCAGTATATACAGTGAGGGAAAAAAGTATTTGATCCCCTGCTGATTTTGTACGTTTGCCCACTGACAAAGAAATTATCAGTCTATAATATTAATGGTAGGTTTATTTGAACAGTGAGAGACAGAATAACAACAACAAAATCCAGAAAAACGCATGTCAAAAATGTTATAAATTGATTTGCATTTTAATGAGGGAAATAAGTATTTGACCCCCTCTCAATCAGAAAGATTTCTGGCTCCCAGGTGTCTTTTATACAGGTAACGAGCTGAGATTAGGAGCACACTCTTAAAGGGAGTGCTCCTAATCTCAGTTTGTTACCTGTATTAAAGACACCTGTCCATAGAAGCAATCAATCAATCAGATTCCAAACTCTCCACCATGGCCAAGACCAAAGAGCTCTCCAAGGATGTCTCTCACTGTTCAAATAAACCTACCATTAAAATTATAGACTGATCATGTCTTTGTCAGTGGGCAAACGTACAAAATCAGCAGGGGATCAAATACTTTTTTCCCTCACTGTAGGTCTACAATCTTGTCCCTGACATCCTTGGAGAGCTCATTGTTCTTGGCCATGGTGGAGAGTTTGGAATCTGATTGATTGATTGCTTCTGTGGACAGGTGTCTTTTATACAGGTAACAAACTGAGATTAGGAGCACTCCCTTTAAGAGTGTGCTCCTAATCTCAGCTCGTTACGTGTATAAAAGACACCTGGGAGCCAGAAATCTTTCTTTCTCATTAAAATGCAAATCAATTTATAACATTTTTGACATGCGTTTTTCTGGATTTTTTTGTTGTTATTCTGTCTCTCACTGTTCAAATAAACCTACCATTAAAATTATAGACTGATCATTTCTTTGTCAGTGGGCAAACGTACAAAATCAGCAGGGGATCAAATACTTTTTTCCCTCACTGTAGCTATTTAAAAATATATATCTATTCAAATATCTTGCATATCTTATTTTCCATCATTATCAATTAATATGCGTAATAATGTCGGCAGTTCATGCGTAGGATTTTAACCTATAACCTGGATTGCCATTGTATTACATTACATTTTTGACAAGCAATTATTATTTTAGCAAACAATTATTGTGGTTCATCCTATATTCTCCCTAACATCCTTACCCCCCTTGCAACAGATGTGGGATAAACACACACGCACATACTCTAACACACTCAACCCCTTTCCTCCACAATCAACCATAAAATTAGATGCTCAACGGTTGTTACATCCCAGAGCCCAACTCAAGAAAGGACCTGATTTACGAATGCATATACGAATATACAGTTACAGCTGTTTGAGAAAGCATGCAAGATTGAGCAAAAATTGACAACAATGTGAGATTTGATTAATCTATGTCAAGTCCTAGGTGATGGAGATCGGATCCACCCTCTTCACCTGAGACACAAACACTCTGGTCCCCCGTTGTAACCATTTTTCCCAAGCATCTCTGTGCAGTCAGACCTTTGATTATTTTGTGCCACCTGGGCCACAATGATAAGCCCCCTCTCTGTTTGTCAGAGTGTTGAACCCCTCCCCAGGGGTTTTACTGCAGCCAGTGTTGCCAGCACTGCCACTACCTGGGTGGGGGTACCCCCCGGAATCCCCACCATTTCTTTATTCATCTCAGGAAAGCAGATCACCAGTTGGCATGCCATAAGACGTGTTAAATGTACCTTAGTTAGTGAACAGAATAGTAATCCACTTCTGAATCCGGATACCCAGGCATTCAGCTAGAGAGAGAAAGGGAGAATGACAGAGAGAGGGAGGGGTGAGGGCGTACCCAGCTCCACTAGGGGGCAAAAGGGAGCTTAGCCCCCTCAGTTGAAATTTGTGCCCCCTCAGTTTTAGTTTCATGTCCCTATATAAAAATAGCAAAGAAGTTTCAAATGATTGCGTGACAGGTTGGTGAAAAACCTGTATCTCCGCTGCACTGTGTCAGCACAATGGACAGAGTATCAGCACAATGGACAGAGTGTCATCACAATGGACAGAGTGTCAGCACAATGGACAGTGTCAGCACAATGGACAGTGTCAGCACAATGGACAGTGTCAGCACAATGGACAGAGTGCGCTGCGGTGTGTAGGGGGACTATGGAATGCCACTGGGGCGGTTATGTATTACTCCTTTGGGTTTCTATAAAAGCGGTGGGAAAACGCTTCTCATCTCTGTGGTAGGCTAAGTGTATAATGTGATACGGCTCCGCCTGTAATATTTGATTTATAAGGGCGGGGTCAAGTTTACCATTGAAGCTCTGTCTCACACCCCACACCACTACAGAGTTTAGTTAGCTTCTTATCCAGCTGTAAAAAGTGTTAGTGTTATTAGCTTTAGCCTATTTAGCTAGCTCGAACCAGCTAATCTGCCACTGCCAAGATGGGTAACAGAAATTGGCTTCGCCAAAGTACCCAAACAAAGCCAACGGAGAGCGATGAGCAGCAGCATCAAACCACTGAGGCCGCTGCCAAGCCCAGCAGCGATGATGCTGCCGAGCTCTAGCTAGCTCTGAGTGCAGAGCCTTTCCCCTCTTCCACAAATGCCACCAGGATAATGGCTCCACAGCCCCCTCCACCTTCTACTGTTCCTGACGATCTTGGAACAGAGGAGCCAGCCCAGGTTAGCCTAGAATCCTACCATAGCCTAAGGTTTTCTGCCCCAAAACATTTATTTAATAGCAACTGGTTCATAGGAAGAGAGTGGCTGGAATACTCAGTTACTGCAGATGCGACATTTTGTTTCCCATGTCGAAAGTTCTGTGTTGGGTCCAATGCTAACGCAAACAAGTCCTTCACCCAAGCTGGGTATTCTAACTGGAAGCATGCTATTGATAGTACCAAAGGATTCTCTAGGCACACATTAAGCAAATAGTATTTGAAATGCACTGCATTGTGGAGAAGAAGAAAAAAGTTTGGGTACTGAGGTGTCAACACTTGTTAAGAAATCGTATGTTTCGGCGACTGTGGACGTTATTGAGTTCCTTGTTTCAAACCAGCAATCACTGAGGGGGACATTGGATACGATAGAGTCAAGAGGGGAGGGGGGCAGTGGACTTTTTCTGTCTATGACGGAATATACTTTCTGAATAGACAAGGAACTTGTCAAGGTGTTTAGCACCATACCCCACAATGCCACATACACATCACACGATATTCAAAATGAAATCATAGGGCTCATGAGTGAGATTGTCACTGAGGAAGCTACATGCGAGAACTCATTTTCCACTTTGACAAATGTGTTCAGTCAGCACAGAAGAAGCATGATACACCTGAGGAAAGCTCAACTAAGCCAACTGGTATTCGAGGGGGATCTTACAAGAAGATTTCGGGGAGAATGGAATGATCGATTACTCAGGAAGATCCACAGAGCATCAAGGAGGCTGCAACTGTTCCTGAAAGGTAAGAAAAAATCTAGCTGGTTGGTTTAGTCTTGCTTTAGTGTGTAGGGTGCTGTCCATGGTGCTGATAGAGCGCAGTGGAGATTTTGCGCCAACCTGTTACTTATTGGTCAAAAGCATTTGAACTTTTATGTTCATTGTGGTATAGCGTGATTTAAGCAGAATTCAATATAATTCAAATGCAAGAACCCAAATTATGCCCCTGGGTATAGCTACATATAGTATGTTTAATCATATAACTAGATACATTCTGTTATGGTTTTCTTGGTAGCCTATTGGTTTTCGTGGTTGTAAATGGAACTGTATATATTGGAAACGTGTTTATGGTAGGCTGGCATTGCTTAATTGGTTACGTGTGTCGAATTTGATTTACAGAAGTGTATTGTGCCATATCACAACGTGTTACTGAACTCATGAGCGAGCGGCATGATTTTCCATGTTTGAAGCGGGCCAGTATAGGCCTATTTATTTGGCAAGACAGCTGTGCATGGCTGCATTCCACTGTAGTATGCTATGTTTTGGTTATTTGGATCTCCATTCGCCTTTTGTTTACTGCATTTGTTTACTGTTAATGTAACTAGCCTAAATATAGATAGTGTCATGCCTTTATCGATCTGATATTTTGTTTACTAGGCCTACTACTACTTTGTACCGCTGTTTTGTTCTGTTCGCATTCATTCGTTTGCATTCGCAGTTAAACTACTATTCAGCATTTAGTTTGCATTATTTTGGTAAGACAGCTATTACAAACAGTCTATCTATCTTGTAGCCTATATTCATTACCAAAACGGCCTTGCTTTAGTGTGTAGGGCACAGGGCACTGTCCATTGTGCTGATACATTGCAGCGGAGATAGGTTGTCACAAAATCTGTAGCCTGATTGTCACTTTAAAAGCACTCAATGATCTCAGAGTCTGGGCATTTTAACTTTATGTTTATAGTAGTATAACGTGATATAAACAGAAATCAATATCATTCTAAAGCAAGAACCCCCAAAAATGTTGCCCACACTCCGATTTCAATTGCCCCCTTAGTCACTTTATCCTGGCCCTGGAGATTATACAGTGGGGAGAACAAGTATTTGATACACTGCCGATTTTGCAGGTTTTCCTACTTACAAAGCATGTAGAGGTCTGTCATTTTTATCATAGGTACACTTCAACTGTGAGAGACGGAATCTAAAACAAAAATCCAGAAAATCACATTGTATGATTTTTAAGTAATTAATTTGGATTTTATTGCATGACATAAGTATTTGATCACCTACCAACCAGTAAGAATTCCGGCTCTCACAGACCTGTTAGTTTTTCTTTAAGAAGCCCTCCTGTTCTCCACTCATTACCTGTATTAACTGCACCTGTTTGAACTCGTTACCTGTATAAAAGACACCTGTCCACACACTCAATCAAACAGATTCCAACCTCTCCACAATGGCCAAGACCAGAGAGCTGTGTAAGGACATCAGGGATAAAATTGTAGACCTGCACAGGGCTGGGATGGGCTACAGGACAATAGGCAAGTGGCTTGGTGAGAAGGCAACAACTGTTGGCGTAATTATTAGAAAATGGAAGAAGTTCAAGATGACGGTCAATCACCCTCGGTCTGGGGCTCCATGCAAGATCTCACCTCGTGGGGCATCAATGATCATGAGGAAGGTGAGGGATCAGCCCAGAACTACACGGCAGGACCTGGTCAATGACCTGAAGAGAGCTGGGACCACAGTCTCAAAGAAAACCATTAGTAACACACTACGCCGTCATGGATTAAAATCCTGCAGCGCACGCAAGATCCCCCAGCTCAAGCCAGCGCATATCCAGGCCCGTCTGAAGTTTGCCAATGACCATCTGGATGATCCAGAGGAGGAATGGGAGAAGGTCATGTGGTCTGGTGAGACTAAAATATAGTTTTTTGGTCTAAACTCCACTCACCGTGTTTGGAGGAAGAAGAAGGATGAGTACAACCCCAAGACACCATCCCAACCGTGAAGCATGGAGGTGGAAACATCATTCTTTGGGGATGCTTTTCTGCAAAGGGGACAGGACGACTGCACCGTATTGAGGGGAGGATGGATGGGGCCATGTATCGCGAGATCTTGGCCAACAACCTCCTTCCCTCAGTAAGAACATTGAAGATGGATCGTGGCTGGGTCTTCCATCATGACAACGACCCGAAACACACAGCCATGGCAACGAAGGGGTGGCTCCGTAAGAAGCATCTCAAGGTCCTGGAGTGGCCTAGCCAGTCTCCAGACCTGAAACCAATAGAAAATCTTTGGAGGGAGCTGAAAGTCTGTATTGCCCAGCGACAGCCCCGAAACCTGAAGGATCTGGAGAAGGTCTGTATGGACGAGTGGGCAAAAATCCCTGCTGCAGTGTGTGCAAACCTGGTCAAGACCTACAGGAAACGTATGATCTCTGTAATTGCAAACAAAGGTTTCTGTACCAAATATTAAGTTCTGCTTTTCTGATGTATCAAATACTTATGTCATGCAATAAAATGCAAATGAATTACTTAAAAATCCTACAATGTGATTTTCTGGATTTTTGTTTTAGATTCCGTCTCTCACAGTTGAAGTGTACCTATGATAATAATTACAGACCTCTACATGCTTTGTAAGTAGGAAAACCTGCAAAATCGGCAGTGTATCAAATACACTTCTGTGAAATCAAACTGTCCACTTAGGAAGCAACACTGATTGACAATAAATTTCACATGCTGTTGTGCAATTGTAATAGACAACCGGTGGAAATTATAGGCAATTAGCAAGACACCCCCAATAAAGGACTGGTTTTGCATGTGGTGACCACAGACCACTTCTCAGTTCCTATGCTTCCTGGCTGATGTTTTGGTCACTTTTGAATGCTGGCGGTGCTTTCACTCTAGTGGTAGCATGAGACGGAGTCTACAACCCACACAAATGGCTCAGGTAGTGCAGCTCATCCAGGATGGCACATCAATGCGAGCTGTGGCAAGAAGGTTTGCTGTGTCTGTCAGCGTAGTGTCCAGAGCATGGAGGCACTACCAGGAGACAGGCCAGTACATCAGGAGACATGGAGGAGGCCGTAGGAGGGCAACAACCCTGCTACCTCTGCCTTTGTGCAAGGAGGAGCAGGAGAAGCACTGCCAGAGCCCTGCAAAATGACCTCCAGCAGGCCACAAATGTGCATGTGTCTGCTCAAATGTCAGAAACAGACTCCATGAGGGTGGTATGAGGGCCCGACGTCCACAGGTGGGGGTTGTGCTTACAGCCCAACACCGTGCAGGAGGTTTGGCATTTGCCAGAGAACACCAAGATTGGCAAATCCGCCACTGGCGCCCTGTGCTCTTCACAGATGAAAGTAGGTTCACACTGAGCACGTGACAGACGTGACAGAGTCTGGAGACGCCGTGGAGAACGTTCTGCTGCCTGCAACATCCTCCAGCATGACCGGTTTGGCGGTGGGTCAGTCATGGTGTGGGGTGGCATTTCTTTGGGGGGCCTCCATGTGCTTGCCAGAGGTAGCCTGACTGCCATTAGGTACCGAGATGAGATCCTCAGACCCCTTGTGAGACCATATGCTGGTGCGGTTGGCCCTGGGTTCCTCCTAATGCAAGACAATGCTAGACCTCATGTGGCTGGAGTGTGTCAGCAGTTCCTGCAAGAGGAAAGCATTGATGCTATGGACTGGCCCGCCCGTTCCCCAGACCTGAATCCAATTGAGCACATCTGGGACATCATGTCTCGCTCCATCCACCAACGCCACGTTGCACCACAGACTGTCCAGGAGTTGGCGGATGCTTTAGTCCAGGTCTGGGAGGAGATCCCTCAGGAGACCATCCGCCACCTCATCAGGAGCATGCCCAGGCGTTGTAGGGAGGTCATACAGGCACGTGGAGGCCACACACACTACTGAGCCTCATTTTGACTTGTTTTAAGGACATTACATCAAAGTTGGATCAGCCTGTAGTGTGGTTTTCCACTTTAATTTTGAGGGTGACTCCAAATCCAGACCTCCATGGGTTGATAAATTTGATTTCCATTGATAATTTTTGTGTGATTTTGTTGTCAGCACATTCAACTATGTAAAGAAAAAAGTATTTAATAAGATTATTTCATTCATTCAGATCTAGGATGTGTTATTTTAGTGTTCCCTTCATTTTTTTGAGCAGTGTATATATATATATATTCTCTCAACCAGCTTCACGAGGTAGTCACCTGGAATGCATTTCAGTTAACAGGTGTGCCTTCTTAAAAGTTAATTTGTGGAATGTATTTATGTCTTAATGCGTTTGAGCCAATCAGTTGTGTTGTGACAAGGTAGGGGGGTATACAGAAGATAGCCCTATTTGGTAAAAGACCAAGTCCATATTATGGCAAGAACAGCTCAAATAAGCAAAGAGAAACGACAGTCCATCATTACTTTAAGACATGAAGGTCAGTCAATACGGAACATTTCAATAACTTTTTTAGTTTCTTCAAGTGCTGTCGCAAAAACCAGCAAGCGCTATGATGAAACTGGCTCTCATGAGGGCCGCCACAGGAATGGAAGACCCAGAGTTACCTCTGCTGCAGAGGATAAGTTCATTTGAGTTACCAGTCTCAGAAATTGCAGCCCAAATAAATGCTTCACAAACTTCAAGTAACAGACACATCTCAACATCAACTCTTCAGAGGGGACTGTGTGAATCAGGCCTTCATGGTCAAATTGCTGCAAAGAAACCACTACTAAAGGACACCAATAAGAAGAAGAGACCTGCTTGGGCCAAGAAACACGAGCAATGGACATTAGACCGGTGGAAATGTGTCGTTTGGTCTGGAGTCCAAATTTGAGATTTTTTGTTCCAACCGCTGTGTCTTTGTGAGACGCAGTGTGGGTGAACAGATTATCTCCACATGTGTATTTCCCACCGTAAAGCATGGAGGAGGAGGTGTAATGGTGTGGGGGTGCCTTGCTGGTGACACTGTCTATGATTTATTTAGAATTCAAGGCACACTTAAACAGCATGGCTACCACAACATTCTGCAGCGATACGCCATCCCATCTGGCTTGGGCTTAGTGGGACTATAATTTGTTTTTCAACAGGACAATGACCCAAAAGACACCTCCAGGCTGTGTAAGGACTATTTTACCAAGGAGAGTGATGGAGTGCTGCATCAGATGACCTGGCCTCCACAATCCCCGACCTCAACCCAGTTGAGATGGTTTGGGATGAGTCAGACCGCAGAGTGAAGGAAAAGCAGCCAACAAGTGCTCAGCAAATGTGGGAACTCCTTCAAGACTGTTGGAAAAGCATTCCAGGTGAAGCTGGTTGAGAGAATGCCAAGAGTGTGCTTACTTGTCATCAAGGTAAAGGGTAGCTATTTGAAGAATCTCAAATATACAATATTTTTGATTTGTTTAACACTTTTTGTTTACTACATGATTCCATGTGTTATTTCATAGTTTTGATGTCTTCAATATTATTCTACAATGTAAAAAAATAAATTGTAAAAATAAAGAAAAACCCTTTAAAGAGAGAGAGAGAGAGAGCAAGAAGGAGGATGTCTTAGGGTAGGATTTGAACAGAATGGATCTGTCAGTATTTGCAGTTGGAATAAGAAAAGTAAAGTTCTTAAAAGCTTAAATAACTGCTCATTACCTGGTAAATAATAACAGACAAATATTAGTGTCATTAGCCAAACATACAACCAAAACATGAGCAAACAAGTGTTGCTACAACAACAGCCTCCAATCCTGATTGGATAGAAGCCATAATTAAAGAGACTGTCACTATCCAATCCGTGCATAGCAATCTGCTCAGCAACTCGAGAGCTCTCTGATCTAAGATGAGTTTCACTTGGGCAAAGGTCAATTGGTGATTAACACACACTATATGTGTGTGCATGTGTGTGTGTGTGTGTCTGCGTGTACCTAAGGGATCAGAATCACTACTGGCCCTAATAAGGTAGCAGTCTCTAAAAAACTGAGCCAGCTCTGAAATAATAATAATTTAGGGTCGATAACAAAGGTGACAAAGATTCTGGACTACAGTGGAATATTGTCCACAGGTTTACAGTGTTGCTCTACTTACTGTGTTGTTTCTGGGTTCAGCATAAGTATATGAGTCACACACTACTTAAAGATGCACTATGCAGAAATCGCTCCGCCTTTTCCTGGTTGCTAAAATTCGAATAGTTCCCCTAATTTCAGTTTATGTGACATAACAAGCAAGTATAGTGTAGAGAATCATTGTACAAATGAAACCACTGTCAAATATATTTTCCATAACCAAAAATATTGTATTTTCAGCTATTTGAAGCTGGTGTACAAAACCAAAAGTAAAAGACGCAAAAACAAAACTTAAGAATGGGAAGCATAGAAATAGCACACATAGAACAGATCTACCACTTCTTAGACTTGCTTTCAATGAGAATGACAGATCTATAACCCATATTTCTATGTGAATTTGGTCAGGGGTCGCCCAAAAAATGACATATTGCAGCTTTAAAGGGAAACACACCATCCACAAATACTTTTATCTGACTTGCTAACCATTGACAGCCTGACCCACTAAAGGCATTAATTATCTAGCCTCGTCACCAGTTTCTATGGTTAAAGAATACAGGTTAGTTCTAATGCTTCACCTATCACATCACCTATAAGCACACATGCTTAAATCTTTGGGGAGGGTTGGGAGCAGAGAAAAATACTAATTTCCAGAGGGAAACAGAAGTAAACAATTTAATATTATTCTGCTATAGTTCTATACCAATTTCCCTCTGCAAATGGGTGGAAGCCCAGGTATTTGTATGGGATTTACATAGCGGCTACACACACCTGGCTAGGTCAGTATGAGCTCAGTATGATCAAACTGCTGTAGAAAAGGAGCGCTGTCAGATTAGGCTACAGTTTTTGACTATGGCACCCTATTCCCTTTGTATATAGTACACTACTTTTGACCAGACGGATGCACCCCGAGACTGACCTTTGGGGAAGGGGTTGGGCTGGACGGTGTGGAGGAAGGACTGGACGACCCCGGACATGAAGCCTGTGTCTGCTCCTGGGATTGACCGGTACTGGGTCTGGATCAGGTTCAAGGGAGAGACTCTCTTAGGACAGGTGGCAGGGGGAGGCAGGGCCAAGCTGGACCCCAGCAACAGAGCCCCGATCCAGGCCAACACCACCCAGGCGCAGCCCCCCAACCTCCAAACACTCCTACATGCTCCCATCACTGCAACTAGAGATAGGGCTCGAAGGTGAGCTAGGGTAATGCTGGAGAATGTAGAGTGTGGAGCGATCTTCTCATTGGCACTATCTCTGTATTGATGGGCCTGCAAACACAGAGCAGAGAGATTGGTGTGGGAGTGGAAACACACAGATACGGAGATAAACACAGAAGTAAAGAGATTGTTGTGAAAGGGTGCAGGCACTGTAAAGTAAATGCATACATATTGTATTGTAATTGTAAGAAAACTAGCATTGAGGGAAACCATAAATGTGACGACAATTGAAGCAGTTTTCCGGTTTCGGTGGCACGCATTGAAAAGCCTTATTGTGGCTTTCTTTTGCAACATTTCTATTGACAGAATTGTTCTCTAAAAATGTCAATTGTAAACCCCATATTAAGGTGTGGAACGTTCATTGTATGACAAGAAAAAACGAGCAGGTCTATTTCGCTCCAGCAGGTCATCTGTCCATCCACAATTCACCTGTGGGAACATGGCGGCTTTCACCAGACAACAGAAAGAGCTGGCCGCTACTACCCGAGAGATCGTTCGTGAGATTATCTCTGCCCTCGATTTGCAATTAAACCGGTAAATGAATAACTCGCATTGCTCACTTCTAAAGTGGATGCCTATTCAACTAAAGTGGAAAGTCTGGAGAAGGCGGCGCGTGCACCTCCGTGACCTGGAAACAGCGAGAGCTAAACTAGAAGGGGCAATCAATCTCCTAAAAGAGAAAACGGAATCACTTGAAAATCATTCCCGTAAATTCAATGTGCGGGTTATAGGATTTGAAACTTGCGTGGAAGCAGGCAACCCAACTTAATTCATGGGTTGCCTGCTTCGAACGAATCCACAGTATGAAAATGTATGCACTCACTAACTGTAAGTCGCTCTGGGTAAGAGCGTCTGTTAAATGCCTAAAATGTACTATACAATTGCTTTTATTTTATTATATAATTTTGTATTGCTGGCCCCCTTCGTTTCGAGCAGGCTATTGAATCTATCTCCCAGGGAGGACTTGGCCTACAGGCCATGATTAGTTATTGTGAAGATGTACATTTTACATTTTAGTCATTTTAGCATCCAGAGCGACTTACAGTTAGTGAGTTCATACATTTTCATACTGGCCCCCCGTGGGAAACGAACCCACAACCCTGGCGTTGCAAGCGCCATGCTCTACTAACTGAGCTACAGGGGACTATATAGACTGCATTTCTTGGACATACCCTTTTCTTTCTATTTTTTGTTTTTACATAGTATGGTGGTGGTGGGGGGTAATCAACTAGATTCCGCCGCGGCCCGACATTGTCGAAGTTCAATAAGACAAAAACAGTGAAAGGAGAGTTGAAAATAAAGAGAACAGAGGGCCAGAAAAGTACTGTTTGGAAAAGATTTGGTGAAGTGATAAGAGGTTGATAGCAGTGCCGGCTATGTTATGTGTGATGATTGTGAGGCGCTATACAAATTCGACAGTCACAAGACAGGACTTCGAATAGGCCTATGGCATGTCAAGTGAACTGTAGATAGGTTAAATTGAAACTGAAATCTGGACACTGACTGTAGGTCTATAACCTCTCACATAGCCTTAATATTAACTCCTGCAGAATTAAGCATTTCTTGCAGTAAAATGTATACACGAAATGTAGGCAAAATTTGGACTTGGGAACAGGAGTGGAGAAATATGATTGATTTCTGTATCTTGAGAGAATGCAATGCTCAGTTAACCATCTGTAGAGGTGCAGTTTTCATCATAAAATCTGATAGTATTTCAACCACTTAAAATATGCATCAAAGCCGAACTGAAATCTCATCAGAAACATCTTGGGTTGTTTTCATAGCTTTCTTTTTTCCTTACAACTGGTGAAACTGATGTCATTTTGGAATTATTATTTTTTGCGTTATTGTATTTTCTCCCCAGTCCCTAAACGTCTTTACGGTGCGAAAGATGACAGAGAGAACTTTACCGATGTCAACTAGATTGACGCATTCATTCTATCGAGCTGTTATATTCTTCTGTTGAGCAAGGGTTTATTTAGTCTTCTAAGGCAACATATAATGACGAAAGAGAAGCTACATGTATCTGATTATAGGTAAGTTCACTAACAAATAGCCTACCAAAATATCACAAATTATAAGCAGAAACATATCTATATCAGGCCCAAAAAAATCATGCACCCCCTGTCAAATCGTTCTGCGTTTTTTTGCGCATTTTCTATATTTGCGGGTTCTGACCCACTGAGAATGTGATGAAAGAAATAAAAGCTGAAAGAAATCACTACTATTATTCTGACATTTCACATTCTTAAAATAAAGTGGTGATCCTAACTGACCTAAGACAGGGAATTTTTACTAGGATTAAATGTCAGGAATTGTGAAAAACTGAGTTTGAATGTATTTGGCTAAGGTGTATGTAACCTTCCGACTTCAATTGTAGCTATTTTCATATTTTTTACTTTCTTTGCTTTTGGGCCCACGGGAAGGGGTGGTGGTGATCAACTTCTGATAAACGTGTCCTACCTTTTTTCATATGTAAAGTATTTCCCTGTTGATCTATAAACATTGGCATCATACTTCCCTGTTTATCTACAAACATTGGCAAATCATCATTCTATAGAGCATAGTTCTGTCTTAGGCTCTACCACTGAAGGTTATCAACATCTTTACACACTTGCGCTTTTGATCAATCAACCACCAACACAGCTATCATAATCAATTACTTGAATGTAGTCATTTCACATTTACTGTTCCTATATCAATAAAAATTACATCTAAAACCCTGAGAAAGAGCACGAGACAGATCACCAAAAGCTTGAAAAACTTTCCATAACGCAACACCACACAGTGAGTGTTGATTGTTTTTCTATAAACAGACTGACATTCAACACTCACTACTACATAACAGTTCATCATACACAGCTACCTGCATCACTACGGTTTGTTTAGTTTTAACCAGACAGACAGAGGTTAAATATGGGAGGGTGAAACCAGGCACTGATCTGCTTACTAAGAAGACTGTGTGACAGAACAGTTAAATAAATAAAATAAAAAATACCGGTATTCTCTATATAAAGTAAAGAGAAAAGCTTTTACTGGGCTTGCATAAGCTTCAACACAGTATTGCAATGTCACATGCATTTTGTTTGTCCAATACGTTTCAGTATGTTATATTTCTTTACTCATGTGCCTCTGAAATGCAAATACTAGGACAATGGAGAAAGAAAGAAAGAGAGATTTAAGTACAGACTAAAAAGTACTTACTCACTTCCCACAGTGTAAACAGAGTTCTGTTGAGAGTAGAGAGAGAGCAGGCTCCTTTGTACAAGGTCATTTTGGAACACACAGGCAGAACACACAGTCAACCAGTCCTGGAGTACAACATTCTCTCACTACTGCTGCTTCAGCTGGTTTTAACCGCTCTAAAGCTCCTCTACAGAAAATAGGCTCCATAGTGGCTTAATCAATTACAACAGCGGACTTGTATATCTTCTACAGCTAACTCAACAATTAACTACTGCTATTGCATCAGTATCTCTGGAAGCTAACTGCAGAGCTGTTAGACTATTTTCCCTGTACCTGTTTGAGGCTCTGGAAGTGTGGAGGAGTAGGGGAGACATAACAGGAGAGAGCGAGAGAGTCGGGAGAAGAGTGTGAGAGAAGAGGAAAGAAAGTAGAGGTATCGGAGAGGTAAGAGGAAGAAAACAGGACTTTACCTGTTGTTCCTTTAGTCGAGACAGGAAAGATGTGAACCAGTAGAGCGAAGTATATGCTCCGGGTGAGTTTGAGTGCGTGTCCGCTTCCTGGACAGGCGTGTCACCAATCTGCAAAGCACAGGTGTGTGTGTGTGTCCAGTCTCTGCCCTGGTCTCCACTAGTGTACAGTGGGGAGAACAAGTATTTGATACACTGCCGATTTTGCAGGTTTTCCTACTTACAAAGCATGTAGAGGTCTGTAATTTTTATCATAGGTACACTTCAACTGTGAGAGACGGAATCTAAAACAAAAATCTAGAAAATCACATTGTATGATTTTTAAGTAATTAATTTGCATTTTATTGCATGACATAAGTATTTGATCAACTACCAACCAGTAAGAATTCCGGCTCTCACAGACCTGTTAGTTTTTCTTTAAGAAGCCCTCCTGTTCTCCACTCATTACCTGTATTAACTGCACCTGTTTGAACTCGTTACCTGTATAAAAGACACCTGTCCACACACTCAATCAAACAGACTCCAACCACTCCACAATGGCCAAGACCAGAGAGCTGTGTAAGGACATCAGGGATAAAATTGTAGACCTGCACAAGGCTGGGATGGGCTACAGGATAACAGGCAAGCAGCTTGGTGAGAAGGCAACAACTGTTGGCACAATTATTAGAAAATGGAAGAAGTTCAAGATGACGGTCAATCACCCTCGGTCTGGGGCTCCATGCAAGATCTCACCTCGTGGGGCATCAATTATCATGAGGAAGGTGAGGGATCAGCCCAGAACTACACGGCAGGACCTGGTCAATGACCTGAAGAGAGCTGGAACCACAGTCTCAAAGAAAACCATTAGTAACACACTACGCCGTCATGGATTAAAATCCTGCAGCGCACGCAAGGTCCCCCTGCTCAAGCCAGCGCATGTCCAGGCTCATCTGAAGTTTGCCAATGACCATCTGGATGATCCAGAGGAGGAATGGGAGAAGGTCATGTGGTCTGATGAGACTAAAATAGAGCTTTTTGGTCTAAACTCCACTTGCCGTGTTTGGAGGAAGAAGAAGGATGAGTACAACCCCAAGAACACCATCCCAACCGTGAAGCATGGAGGTGGAAACATCATTCTTTGGGGATGCTTTTCTGCAAAGGGGACAGGACGACTGCACCGTATTGAGGGGAGGATGGATGGGGCCATGTATCGCGAGATCTTGGCCATCAACCTCCTTCCCTCAGTAAGAGCATTGAAGATGGGTCGTGGCTGGGTCTTCCAGCATGACAACGACCCGAAACACACAGCCAGGGCAACTAAGGAGTGGCTCTGTAAGAAGCATCTCAAGATCCTGGAGTGGCCTAGCCAGTCTCCAGACCTGAACCCAATAGAAAATGTTTGGAGGGAGCTGAAAGTCC